GAGGAAATAGATGCAATATATAGGATGGAAATTTTGGTAGCCCAAGGTTTAAGCAGGCCGCTGGTGTGAATCACTGTGAGGTCAATTACATAAGTCGAACTAGTAAACTGGGGTCAATTAGATTACTGGAATATAAAAACTTAGCTAAACCTAGAACAATTGACCCTGCTAAGTTAAATAACCTAGAAAAAAGCTCAGCCACTACATTGCACTCACCTACATGTATTCCAAAAATAGGGTGAATGGGACGGAATGAGAATGTTAAAAAATTAATGTAGTTAGGTGGAGAAAGAGAGAGGTTAATCACCGAAGCTTTGTTTACCGCCTATACCGCAGATATCGAAAGTGGTATCAAACAACAACGGGGAAGAGACAGAGGGGAAAAATAAATATATAAAGCAAATCATGAAGCCGTGTGACTAAAATTGATAATGAAGCGCAATAAGTTATGCTTATAACGTCGTCATCCAGTTGTTAATATTGCGTCGATCACTGTGTGATATTTAAAATAAACTTATCTAATATGGAACTGCGTCCGTCGTACAGTGGTAGAATGTTCGCAGACCACGCATATGGTCCGGGGTACGATCCCCGGCAGGCGCACTCCTTTACCTCTCTAAGCCAGTTATAAGACTGGTAAAGAAGGGAGTTTGGGTATGAGGCTAACAACCCCATCCTGTAAAAATAAACGCCACTGCTACGGAAATTTCAAGCCTCTAGCTTGAAGCCCTATGTTCTACTGAGGGAATGTAAAGTAATAAATAAATAATATATATAATATATAATATGGAATTAAAGTAATCAGTTTATTTCATCTCTAAAAGTTAACAAATGCCAGTTGACCATTGACTGACCTACTTATTGACTAGCCTATGAATGTAGAACTCTGAAGAGAAGTGAGTTAGTCGAAGTCTTCAAACTTCAGAAAGTTTACATGAAAGTCACCTTCTTATATGGTGCAAACCAACAGTCAAACACTTTAAGAATTGATGGCATTTCTTTGTCTGCCAACTCCTAAATCTTCTGCAACTCGGTTACATTTCTGCTAACACTGCTAGTCAGAAAAGGTGGTTTTTTGTGAAACATTATACATTTCTCAACCATCTTATTCTTGAGGCTTCAAAGCACCATCGACGTACCTTTCATTCCTATCCAGCGCGCTACTCCTAAATTCTTCAATTATGCCCATACTGCTGCACCTACCTACAGAGATTGATGAAGGTATCTATGTGTGGAAACTGCCAATTTCTTCATATCTTCCATTTTCAGCAGCCATATTGTACAGCATGGTAAAGCTAGCAGTACAAATGTCCTTTTATGGATATGTAGGTAGATACCTCGTCTGTGCCAAAGATGACTCAGGTTGGAAAATACTGAGTTTTTTCAGCAAACAGTACATTAAAACTCACCGCATAACTTCCCAAATAATCAGGATGGTGGAAACACTCAATCATTTAATTCCTTAAAACATAAGCTACTGAAGACTACTCCTGAAGCATCATCTGACACTTGACATATGCGAATCATATCCCCGAACATTGCTAGACCTTTGCTTAAAGTTTTCAGAAGACTCCAAGTCTAGTCATCACCTTTATTCAAAAGACTTTGAATCAAAGAAATAATTCCATGATGACAAATTTATCCCTGAATTGTTGAAGTCAACTAAAGTCACGGTTATCAGTACACCTTAGATAAAACATGCTTCAAATGAAAACTAAAAATAAGAATGCATGATTGTGAATATAAGGCCTTGATCAGTTTAATATACTTCATCAGTACTCCATTACTTAACTAATATATTATCACAAAAACTAAAGACAAAACGGTTAAATGGAATTCTGCATAGAATTTTCTCTCTTAATGAACTTGTTACGCAGAAGGAATAATAGAATAGGTGGGAGAATATGATATCAGGATTTTATTTCTTTGGTTACTATCAGATGCATCTAGCATCAATATATGAAATATTAATACAATTTAATAAACCAGTATGCAGACAGAATCTGTTATACTGGCCGTCGTCACATGAATGTATAAACCCAACTACTTCCCTCCCCCCCCCTCCCCATAAAACTGCAGTTCCGAAAAAATCATTGTTCATATAACTGCAGGTCCTCAGTGACAACATCAGCGAAACAATAACACAGCGCCTGAAGAATTCAATTAAAAGAGCTTATTATGCAGCAGATGTACGTTGTCTCTTCACAACCACCCCTATTCTACGTTCGAGAAATAAGGATAAACTACCTAAATTTGCCTCTTCTATGTGTATCTACCAGTTTGAATGCAGCTGTGGAGCCAGCTACATTGGGCGTACAATTAGGCAGGTTCATCGTCGTATTTCCGAACATCATCTAGCATGGTTAATCAAGGGACACACAAGATTTATTCGTAGCTCAATTTTAGCACACCTTGTAGATAGTGAACATAAGGCTGACGTTAATACAACATTTAAAATTATTTATCTCATTCCTACTAATCTTAATTTTGCTTTACGAGTTCGTCTTCTACAGCTGAAGCCACAGGAATTCACGTGAAGAAGCCAAACCTGTGTTTGTTCAGGAGAAATCTGTACAGTCACTTTTCGTACCTTGACCATCGTTACATGAATGTATAAACCGGACTACCTCCCTTCTCCCCTTAAACCTTGAAAAATGATAAAAACTAGGATTGTCTTAATTATTTTTTCTGACCACTTTATCTTTAATTACATGTTATCCTTGCATAATTGTTTTGTTCTTATGACCACTTCAGCCTTAGTCACAAGTTATCATTGTCCAAATCGTTTTATTTTCTTTAACAACCTGTTACGCAATCAACTTGTGCACACACTTATTCCTTAATTACTCTTCATTTTTCTGAAATTACGCATTATGCAATCCACGTGTTGTAACCATGTTTACCTTTTAATTGTGTGTATTAATTTTCTTCGTTAATTATCACCCAACTGACATTTTGACGCTGTTTAATTAATGTTAACAAACATATCCGTGCCACTTGATTAGTAAATTGTTGAGTGTTGTAATAAAAATGCTATGTATATTAGAGTAGAGCCAGAGAGGGATTAGGATCTAATTGGAAAGTAAATATTTCTTCGCTCAATCTTTCTGTTTTCTAAATGTCTAAATGGGGATTTTTTTCTACATTGGAATCTATTAATGTTGCGTAATCGAACAATAAAGTAGAAAGGATAGAAGGATGTTATCACGGTTGTTGCGATATATATATATAAATAGTTTGCATTCAATCTTCCATGTGTACTTGCCTGCACTTAATTCAGAAGATCTAGTGATTTTCTAGAAAGGATAAGGGCGAAGTTCAAAAATAACGTCACAGGAGTGCAAACGCTGCAATTAACTTGAACGCATGCTAGTCGTTAACTAATGGCACTTATCATTACCATAGCTGAAATATCAATGCTATTCACCAACTAAGGAGCGAATTTCACCCAGATCACTTTTTTAAGTACTGTTTAGACAATGTGTTAATAGCTCGTTAGAGTTAGTTTTACGGTCGGGATAAGAGTTGTAATTAGGGTTAGGATTAAGGTAAGAGTTACGATTAGGGATGAATTTCGAGTTGATGTCATTTACTTTAATTAGTTTATTATCCACATTTTCCTGGTAAGTAGTCGTTGATCCTCTTACTGGAAACCATAGTAATTCAATGGACGGCTTTTGGGGTAGACTGAACAACAGGATAAGAGAGATGAATGATTCACAAAAACAGCTCACTTTCAGTCACCTCGGCGAAAACATCCACAGAAACTAGTCTAACTTAGCAACTGATGCTCTTCATTATAACTGGGGCGTATTTTTAAGTCATGTCAGAGAACAATACCCTGTTTAATGCGTTTTCATGCATTTTCTTCTAAAAATACATCATTTTTTGTGCAAAACTTCCTCATTTTTATGATTGGTCGGCTCTAGGTCACCTGTGCGTTCCCATCCCTTGGGATGCTATTGTTGAACTTTGCCAGGATAAGCAACAACGGACTCTGATTGGTGACGAACTAACCAAGAACCTAATTTCCAACAAATATTTAAAAGAAAATGGGAATGGATTCAACAATAAACTGAGAAGACTGTTAAGTGACATCTAGGGTCAGGTACTCAAATGGAAACCAGATGGGAAACGACTAATTTGGCATCACATCGAGGTTGACATAAAGAAGATATGTGAGGGAGAAGTGAAGTCTTATGTGCAAGCTAAAAGAAAGAATGCAAAAAGAATGGTTGAATGATGATGTGCTGCTGAAGCACCATGTTACGCTACTCAAAACAGAATGATTACAGAAAAAATTTGTGGTTTTACTTCTCTGAAAGAAAAATCCGCTAAGTTAAAGTATCATGGACAAACTCAAAGTCAGTCAAAAGTTGACCCTCGAAAACCAATCAGATACAGGGAATGCTATGCAACGTCAATTGAAATCAAGTCATGCCTACCTTCTTGAATTTGGTAAGGGCAGATACAATATTCTACTTATTCCCTAGGTGCCTTTTCTGTAAGCCTACGCTGTCAGGCAGGGTTATGGCCTTTTAGATTGAGATTTAGGGTCAAGTTTAGGTTTAGGGTTAAAATTAGGAATAGGAGATAGGATTGTGGTTAGAGTTAGGAGAAGGTTAAAGACCACTATCACAAATATCAATGGATCTCAAAGTATCATGATCTGCAGTCACCTGAATGAATGCATCTATGGCGCATGGTATGATTTCTCTAAAAATCATATCTTTGATGACTTGAAGACATGTTTAGAACACTTAAGTAACAACTATATCGTCTAATATCATGTTTACAATAATTTTTAGTGCATTTTTCAAAGATTACGCGATTTTCTGCGCCTGAATTCTGATTGATTGTTCAAGGTCACTGTCGTTCTGGCTATTATCATTTAACTTTGCCCAATAATCATGCAATAGGATATTTGATCAAGAAAAAAACGGAAGTAATGATGAAAAGGTGAACAAAGTATGAATTTGTATAAACAATATTAGTCGTCATCATAATAACAGTAAATGTTTCTTCTGTGGTGCCATGACAGCGATCTGTATGGTGTAGTCAAATTTAATGATTGTATTTATCATGTGTACAGAGTCTGTTTTCTATTTGTCCTCAACAAATTTATAATTTCGTAGTTTACCTTGTTTTAGAAGAAGAAAAAATAAAAAATAAAGAAACGAATCAACAGAAAGGAATGACCAGTAACTTGATATTATAAACAGGTGAAATACAATGCAATGTTTAAATAACTATGGACGACTAACAGAAGTGAATTAGTTTAAGTTGTTCCAATTCTAAACACAAAAATGCAGACAACAGCAATTCATTGAAACCATCATAGATGAAGGCGAATGTGAAAGATTATCAAGTGTTGGTTTGTAGATGGGATTTGATTGTTTACAGGTCTGATCAAGCATTGATATCAGTTAGAAATCAACAGGGAGTACTGGACAGCCCACTGTTTCGTCTTAGTTTTGGACTCTTCATCGGTACGACCTCAATACCTCCCGGTTACAAGGCCAGCCGGTAGACCATTCAGCCAGTACAACTCAATTCAATGGCCAATGAATTCCAAGTTCTGCTAATTCATGATATTTAATACAACCACTAGCTAATTTCATAGACTCGTGATCAAACATGTAAACAGTCGTTGGTATTAGATGTCTGAATACAATCGGCAAAAGCCTTGAATCTAGGTCTCGTGCTAGTTGCCACTCAACAGTCAGCAAGGCGTATCTGCAACCTTGAAGGAACTCACGCCACTTCTGAGATTCGAAATCGTGACACCCACTGCTGCAGTTAGAGATGTTACAAGCTGCAGATACGCCTTACTGACGAGTGCAAGCTAGCACAAAACCTGGTTCAAGGGCTTTCTGCTGGTAGCATCCAACGACCTAATATCAACAATTTAAAGTGCACCATGATGGATAGCCACCCAGAATGGTGGCCACATTGCAAACTTGACTGGTAGAATTCAGTCTGCACCAATGATAGGACTGGACATATTACACTAGTTACCGACTAGTGTCCAATCAATATATATATTTAGACAATCAAATCATTGCAAACCAACAAGTGAGAAATGAATTGGATCCTCACTTGCGACTGGTTCTATACAGAAAGTTATCTAGTGAGAAGTGGTAACCGGTGGGGTCTACCAAGTCATGTATGAGGACAGTTACTCGCCAATTGTGTTGGCTGGCAGTTGCACTGTACTGTGCGAATCGGCAGCAGCTGGAATTAAGGGGCCACTAAATCAGATCTAAGTCACTGGAAGGTCCTTGGCTCAAACCCTGGTGCGTGCGCAGTACCGATGAGTCCCAAACTAGGATGAAACAGCTATCTATGTATGCGTCAGTGGTTCAGTGGTAGGAAACTCCCCAACTCAGCTGAAGCTTGGAGTCCTGTGTTCCACGGGGGATGCAAAGGATTAAGGAGTCATACATGCTGTGTAATGCCACCTAGCTGCCCAAACCTCTACAGATAGACTGCCGTTAGAACTTGTGGCTCAGTCATTAAAAGTCAAGCTCCTAAACTAACAAGTTATAGCTCCATGAACATACTTTAAGATATACCTTATGGCCGTCCACGCATCGCAGTCACTGCTTGTCATATTCCAGGTTCTACAAACCTTCAATAATCTTTATTTAATTATTATACCTGTCACACTTATATTTGTCTATCACACTATTATTCTGTTTTTATCTCTATGCCTTTTCAAAGTGTGCATCTTTCACTAATGCAGTTCTATGCAAGGCTATATGATGTTCCAGTCATTCAGTCAATTATAAAATAATTCACAAAAACTTAAACTTTTACTGTCTACAGGTTTTTAAGATTTTTAAAGGTTAACTTTATTTCGTAAACCGTCAATAGCTGTAAGAATTATTATAAACTAATGGGTATTAAACAACTTTTCATCACATTCTGAAACTCTCAAACAGCAAACGTGTACTCATACAACACAATCAGGACTTAAGCTCAAAATCAAGTACTGAATCATTTGGGATACAACAGAAAACGGTGTTTTGCATGTATCATCTAACAATTTATTGAATATCTATCACCGTATTATTGGCGGCCTGCTTAAAACTTGGGTCACGAAAAAACTTCCATCTCTCTGTTGCATATATTTCTCTCGTTTGGTTTGTTTTAATCGATTAAGGTAAGACCTCTAGTGGTGTTATCTATTCGTGTATGCATTTAAAATGTTTACAAGCTTCTGATACGCAAGTTCGTACTAAACCTGAGGAAAGGCTTCACTGTGGGTGGCAGAGTGTTCCAATATATGAGATAACCGTTCATCGCTTATATCCTTGGGTCTCAAAATGTACTTCTGAATATCTTACAATTGACTTTCAGCAAGATATCATGGACTCCTTGAAGGAGACAAAGCAGATATGTAATAATGGAATGGTTTGTGCTTCAACTCAGAGGCCACCATGTGTTACAGGATATACTACTTTCAATTAATATTTTACTTGAAGATATTGTACGTAGGGGAAGATATCATGCAATAAAGATGTGTTTTTTTATAAATCCATCGAACATTATTTCTCACTGAAAGTACCAGTAATGAAGAAACCCAAATAATCAGTTTCACCAAAATAATTAGATGCTTCACATGAATACCACTTACAAGAGGCTTCGGCAATTGAATTGAATTAAGATCAATCGTCTGCTTATCTTTATCACTGAAATCTTCCAGTCTAACATTCGACTGAGAGAATATCGAACGTGCTTCATTGGCTGGCATCAATCCCATGCTAACTTCAGGTGCTGATTTTGGCCGTAACCTTTTTATACTTTGACTATTTCTATGCGCTTGTTCAAAATCATACTCTAATAGATCGAATAATTGTTCTAGGTGTTTATCACCATCAGCGCTGTTGTCGTTATCACTAACACCGAAAGGACTACTGTCAAACACTCTATCGCCACGAGTCCTGTTACACTTCGCCAACAAACTTTCATGATTTAAATTTAATTTCGTATAAGTATCCTTGAGAAAATTTTGATCAGTTTTTGAGGTGTTGAGTTGATTTCTTTTTAAATTATGAATTTGCTTTAGTAAATTCAACTTGAATTGTTTAATCTCTTGAGAAGATTGAAAATAATACTGGGTTGTTGACAATATTTTATGATGAATTAGTTTGTTGTCTTTTCTCTTCTGTTCATTAGAGCCGTCGTTCATTGATGATGACGATAGTAATTTCTCTTTATTTGTTTTATTGAATAAATTTAGATTAGAAAATGATTTTCTTGCTACCTTAGATTGTTGTTCAGTTGTCACTTTTTCGTGGTCCATTTGTTTTAATGCTTTAGTAACAGCTAATGCTGACTTGGGACGTTTTTCAACTCTTTCAATATAAAGAAATAAAAAGTTCTTTTTAAAAAAGGAATAGTAATAATATTATAAAGTCAAGGTATGCAATAAAGATACTAAAATACCTATTAGACATTTAGAAAACAGAAAGATTGAGCGAAGAAATATTTACTTTTCAATTAGATCCTCATCTCTGGCTCTACTCTAATATACACGTATAGTACCTTTATTACAATACACAACAATTTACCAAACAAGTGGTGATATGTTTGTTAACAATAATTAAACAGTGTCAAAATGTCGATGGGTTGATAATTAACGAAGAAAATCATCATCGTATTTCCGAACATCATCCATCATGGTTAAGCAAGGGACAAACAAGACCTATTCGCAGTTCTATTTTAGCACACCTTGTTGACACTAAGCATAATACTGCATTTAAAATTATTTATCGCATTCCTACTAATCTTAATTTTGCTCTACGAGTTCGTCTTCTACATACGACAGCTGAAGCAGTGGAAATCCACCTTAAGAAGCCAAGCCTATGTGTTCAGAAGAAATTTGTACAGCCACTTTCCTTACTGTGGCCATCGTTACAAGACAGGACTACGTCGCCCCCCTCCCCCTCCCCCTAAACCTATTAAATTATAATTGTCCAAATTATTTTATTTTTATTTATTTTGACCACTTCATCTTTAATTACGTGTTATCCTTGTAAAATTAATTTATTCTAACCATTTCTACCTTTTAAATGTGTATTGATTTTCTTCGTTAATTATCATCCCACTGACATGTCGTCACTGACAAATTATTGTTAACAAACATATCGCCACTTATTTGGTAAACTGTTGTGTATTGTAATAAAAGTGCTATATATATATATATATATATATATATATATATTAGAGTCAAGCCAGAGATGAGGATCTAGTTGAAAAGTAGATATTTCTTCGCTCAATCTTTCTGTTTTCTAAAACATCAGTGTTTTTGTATAAAAATGAGGTTTATACACATGAGAAATACAGAGGATAATGATCAAATATATTAAACGGGATATTTTTCTGTGATATGACTTAAAAATATCTCACAATTATAATGAGAAGTATTAGTTTCTAAGTTGAACCAGTTCGCATACAGCTATCCATCAAGGTGACTGAAGATGTGACACATCTATAGCCGTTATCCTGTTTTTCAGTCTTCGCAAAAAGCCCTTGATTGAATAATTAAGGGTTCCAGTAAGAGGATCGGCAAATTCGTCTTGATGATTCAATTGATGATGGATGAAACCCAAATCTCATGACCAATTGTATCCCACGCATTAGTCTAGTGTCCGGAATTACTAACCGGTAAAGTTAAACTTTAAGCACCACTAACTACCAATCAGTGAATGACCTCGAACGCACCAATCGCGTTAAGGAGGCATTTTCATGTATGAAATACATGTATTTATGAAATAATGCATAAAAAAACTGTAAAAGAGTGTTACAGAGGATACTTTGCTCTCACGTATGATATAAATAGGGCGGAGTTCAGCAACAGCGTCCCAGGAGTGCGAACGCTCCAATGACCTTGAACGCATGGTAATCTTTGGCTCCCAGTTTTAGAGTATCAGCAGAGTATAATTCCATTGCGGGTAAAATTTATTTTGATAAAGTCTCATAGTGTGTAATACAGAAATATTTCCTGAGCAATAAATTGTGCTCGAAACTTCATCAGTTAATATGACTGTATAACACTGTGAGACTTTATCAAAATAAATGTTATCCACAATGGAATTATACTCTGATTGGACACTAGCAACTAGTGCGACGTGTCTAGTCTTTCCTTTGGTGCAGACTGAATTCTGTCAGACAAGAATTATTATACTCTGTCACAGTGCACAAGTTCTATTCTTATATCAACGGAGTAATTTAACCATATTCTATGCATGTAATTATTAAGGTCTTCTAAACGTAACAATAACCCTGATCTTTCTATAACCTATCCGTAACGTGAAAAAATATCCCCATACTAACTGTAATCTAACGCGATCCAACCCTTTATTTATTAGGTTAACCTAACCCTAACTTGTCCTCGGCTTCGATGAGCATAATTTATTGATGATGACAACATTATTTACCAGGTTTCACTGACTCGTTCAGTGAGCGTTTCAAGGTCATAATTTTGAACGGCTTTTCGACGTCCACCTCATGACCCGTGTCAAGGAGATGCCTAGCGATGGCACTGTTTACAGCATTTGTTCCCTTTAGACATAAGCATTTGGTATATGTTCAGAAAACTGTAGATATGCCCTTCTTTCTGTCCTTCCAATGTAACTGCTCCAGTAGATACATGTAAATTTGTATATTCTGTTGGAGTTAGCATGAGAAGGATATTTATCGATTTTTGATTGCACCAAAGAGCAAGTTGTTCTATAGACGGGGACGTCTATCTGCGGGAGCAGTGACATTGGAAGGACAGAAAGAAGGGCATATCTACGATTTTCTGAACATGTACCAAAAAGCTTACGTCTAAAGGGAACAAATGCTGTAAACAGTGCCATCACCAGGCATCTCCTTGACACTGGTCATGAGGTAGACGTCGTAAAGTCGTTCCAAATTATCAAAAGGTAAAAGATCTCAATTCTCCTTAAGTCTGCTGAAGCCATCTCTATCAAGCGCCTGAAACGTGATTTGTGCGTTCAGAAAGAAACAGTTATCAGTCTTTCTTTGCCCTGCCTGGTAACTGGATATTTTTCATCTCTCTTTCATCTGAATGAGAAATGCTGAAAATTTTCCATTGTGTATGATTATTATTGTTCGGAATAGTGTTTAATATTACATATATACTTATATATATGTATCTATTATCAATGTATGCATATATTGATTGATTGATTTTTGTTTAAAATGAACTCTGTGCAAGTATGTTAAAATAGTTTTTGTAGATATATTTAATAATGTCTTTGCCCTATCTGTAAGCAGCTGATGAGACGACAATGAAATAAAGGACGGTATCAGTTTATTCTGCAACAACTGTAGTTCTTGCTTTGTTCAAATTCATTAAGGGTAATAAATGTAACAAACAGAATAGTTATAAACATTTAAAAAAAACGAACAAAAATTCCAGTTTGTAGAAAATAACAGGGTGGCTTCGATGATAATAGAAGTGGATGAATAATTATCTTTTCTATATATAAAACTCCGATTTCTCTATCGGAATAGCTAGAGATTTATTAATGCAAAGGAGGAGAAAGTGTATTACCTTTAGCAGGTTGCTATCCTTTTTGTAGATTACTTTGAAGAATGAACTTTTTGAGATAGAATGACCCATATCAACAAGAGCGTCGGTGGCATAGCGGTTAAGACGCTCGCCGATCATGCACATGGTCCGGGGTCCGGGTCCGGGGCCGACGCACTCCTTTACCTCGTTAAGCCAGAAATAATGCTGGTGAAGAGGAAAGGTTGGGCGTGAGGCTAGCAACCCCATCCTGTAAAATAAACACTGCTACAGAAACTTCAAGCCACTAGCTTGAAGCCCTATGTTCCACTGGGGAACGTGAAGGAAAGAAAAAAAAATATCAACAAGATGTTCAGTTATAGCACTTCTTATACAGCCATTACTGCTACTTTTCTGCAACCATGCGGTGAGATAGTGTTCTTTAACCCTTTTAGACAGGATAACCATCAAACGACTAATACACCTGACTCCACAGGAACAGGTGAACTTATATATCCACATAGAAGTGGTCAGTTGCTTAATCTTGTCTTTTAGACTTCCACAGACTAGTAGACGACTGGAGGAAACTACTTTTAGCGTTGTTGCAAAGAATTCTCTTCTTAAAGATGTTGAGATTCTTTCCTTACGGACGTCGCAAGCTTAGTCCTCCTTAAAATCCAGGTTCATCTTCTGATCAATAAATCTCGATGGATATTTATTTCCGATGAAGATTTCTGTCCTAGAACGTCAGAGCTTCAGATACGTCGTATGCAAATGGCAAGCAATTTAACTAAACTGTGGTTTCATTCAACTGGCTTCTCAGCTGTAGAAACCTGTTAGTTGACCAAAAGTCAGGTTAAAAATGGAAATATTTATGTTTCACCGAGATATCCTACTTTTTAGCTGTACTTCTTAAAGTACAAACTGCCTCTACTTTCACTTGTCAAAAGATATCATGAAGAGAGTTTACTGAAAAAGACGCCTAGACAGTAGGTCTCATTAAAAAAGACTTCAAACTAAAAGTGTTAATATTAATTTAGTAGACAGATACGTCAGTGGTCCCATGGTAGAATGCTTGCTAAACACATATGTGGTCCGGTTTCGACTTCCGGCTGATGCACTGCCTAAATCCTCCTGGCCGGTAATAAGCCTTATAAAAAGGGAGGGTTTGTCGTGAGGCCAGCAACTCCACCTCGTGAAAATAAACGCCGCTACTGGAAAATCAAAACTTGAAGACGTATGCGTTCCACTCGAAATGCAAACGAATGAAAAGAAAAAGTAATTTAAAGAAGTAGAAAGTGGATGAACCACAGCTTGACATTTACACAGAACCTATAAACACTAATTTCTTTAAATAAACTGACGTTTGTATCTCCTAGATTGGTTAGCCCACTAGAAACAATAAATTGCATCTCAATAATTAAATTTTGATAGGTGCTCAAGCAACAGTGATAAAAAAATGAGATAAAAAAAGAAATCCTACCTATGTTTCGCCGCATAAGTTCCTGGTATAGGTGGTGAAATTAAAAATTCGAATTGTCTCGATTTAGCTTTATCTCGTGAAAAACGTGGTGATATTGAATTCGACTTCTCGGATGACTGTGACACTACTGAACTTGTTTTACTCAATTTCGACTGAGCACTCAAAGATCGACGAGAAGCTGAAATAAAGTGGAAAAGATTTGAAACATACGCACACTCACACATACACATACGTTTAAGTGATTTATATTAACTGTGCCAAACTAATAAAAGGGACTTTTAATTACCCAGGAATAATGTATTCAGAGGTTATTTACCTGGCAGGGAATACCAGCGGAATTCATGATGAGCGTTTCGTCATATTTGGGACTCGTTGTCTGAACATACTCAACACAACTACAATGAATAGGAATGTACAGAGGAGGGGATAAAGACAGTTCCATGAGTCTGGGAGAATGCAAACAGTCGATACATTTGCACCCCTAAGAAAGATTTTGAGCCATATCATCAACAGTCTATGACAGTTGATTCTTAGCACCCGGACAGTCACTTTTCACTTCCCTACGTGGCTGACTCTAACCAACTGTCAGAGACTTCGTGGACTGATGCAGTGTTTCGTTTTGACTACATCTACCTCTTCTACCACCCAAATTTATGTTTGATGATATTACTCAACAAAGAAGGAGATGGCGTGAAGTGTTCTGGTCACCACAATTGATGCAGCTTTATCGCCTAATCGATTTACTTTCCCTCCTTACTTAACACTAAGCCTGACTTAAATATAATTGACCATATTATGCCGTCCGGAACAAGGAAGGGAAACCAAAGACCTATTGTCAAAGACGGCCATCCTCCTCATCATTTCTTTCACTCTCAACAGATGTATCACAGCAGTACAGTACACCGATTCTTTGGTCAAAACTTCAAGAAAAATTACCCCTTTCGCACTACGCCAAGCAAAATATTACTTCGCATCACCCCTGGAACTGGCTGGATTCAGAAACAAGAAATCAGATGCGGATCAAATTAGAGCGTTACGCATCTTCATCGAACACAGCATAGAATGGTAGTCAAATCTCTACCTCAACTTTATCCGCTTTGAAAATGTCTTAGATAGCATTGACCATGAAGCAACGCGGAAACGGATTAAACACTGTGGAGTGTAGTGCCCCAAGCAATTATCAACCTCTTTCAGCAGTTATATGACAATGCCACATGTCAAGAGATTCACAACAGGAAACTAAGCCATGCATCTGGAGTGAAGATAGAAGTTTGACGTAATGCTACTTACTATCACCGATGACCTTCGTGATTTTAGTGGACTGGATCATACAGAAGACTGTAGGGAGCGAGAGGCGTGGAATACGCTGAATCGATAAGAAGACTTTAGAAGGTGTGGACTTCGAGGACGAATAATGTTTAATGTCACACGTACTTGAAGATCAAAACGTTGGCAGAAGGGATAGGTGGTGAAGACAAGACCTTGAGTAACTCTGAGAACAAACCAATCGAGAACCGATAACTGAAGAAATCTGATGAAGAAAATAGAAATGGACATATGCGGATAAGTCTGTTGAGTGATGCTGAGCTTTAGGCTAACCCCAGAGTGGAACCCGAGTGGGAAAAGGCGAGTGGGGCGTGGGTCCGAGGGTAACATGAAGGAGGTCGTGTGAGCAGGAGATGAAGGCTTATGGAAGATAGTTGTGCCATCTGACGAAGACTGAAGAGAACAGGACAAAATGGTGATGTGCTGTTGAAGCCCTATGTTCCACTAGGAACCCAAGGGAATAATAATAATCATACAATAATCCACTTACCAATGATATTAAACTCCAAATATGGATTTTCCAGCAACCCTTAAATATATTGATCATGGATGTAACATTAACAACTTGAAGCTGACAAGAATCTTTCTATTTATCTATTTCTTTCAGCTATGCACTACACTAGACTATGGTGCGATGCTACAGCTAATAATGCCTGTCATACAGTATGATAGGAAACTGGCTTAAACCAGCTGAAACAGACTTAGAGAGGTTTTGTTCCGAATAGGACATAGACCTTCAAGCTTGGGCTTTGAATTTTTGATAGCTCTGGCTTTATTTTTACTCGGTGAGTTTGCTAGTCTCTCATCCAACCCTTTCTTTTCACCGGGTTTACTTCTGGCTTAGAGAAGTTAAGGAATGCGTCCGTGGGGCATGGAACCTCAGACCAGGTGAAAGGGATGGTTGGTGAGTATCCTACCACTGAACCACCAACGCATACATAGACAGCTGTCTCGTCCTAGTTTTGAACTCACCGGCTGTATGCACCCACAGCCAGGGTTCGAAATCAGGACCTGCCGGTTACAAGGTAAGCTCATAGACCATTCAGCCACTAGGCCGAAACATGGTAATACTTTTATGTGAAATATATTTTTGCATAGCAAATTGAATTCTTCTCACTGGCACTAAGCAACCTGCCCCTCTGTCTTTAATTTCGTGGGCTACAGAGGGGGAGGAGATAGATTGACTAGCATTCAATATCTGGTTTTCAGCAGGGTTATGTTTTTGTTTTTCAGTATCGAACCCACAACTCAGCAATTAATTATTAATATCAGCAGATATAATACGATGGATCATACAGGTAAAATTTCTCCAGCATGAAATTACGATGAGATCAAGTTAATGTTATATGATCACAGCTAAGAGTTGATCCATAGAAAAGTCAACACTAAGTCTTGCTTACAATAAACAGTCCAATATGAAAAATTTCATTTTTGCTTTCATATATATTTTTTAATTTTTATTACATCTTGATGCCACACCGTATTTTCAGTACAAGTATGGAATTTTCAGCATGGATATCGGTAGCCCAAATTTTGCAGGCCGACCATAGATATCGGGTGTGCGCCGGCAGGGGATCGAACCCCGGACCATGTGCATGGTCGGCGAGAGTCCTAACCACTGTGTCACCGCCTATGTGAATTCAATGACTCGACCATGTTTTTAAGTAAGGATCAAGGATGGGGTTTACAGACGACACCGAAAGCACTGACTCATATGATGTCTTCTCTCGTCTTTTATCCTGTATCCGCATTCAGGTGTCCATATTAAGATACTGCCTTCCTATTATTGTTGAGATCTATTCAAGATATTTTCGCACCTCTATCGGATATTAACATGGTTATTCTACTCAGGCTTGTAGTTATTAATGAATTTTGCATGTTTTTCATGTTGTCTCAATGAATACAATGACAGCTTTATTTTCCTCTTCGTCCCTATTTTCAGTTTCAGTTAGTCTTCAGCTTTCTTCAGGATATTCTGACTGATCCTGAAGTGAATAGTTTTTTAATCATGAATCGGTTCAAAGATTTTCAGATTTTGTCCTCGGAATCTTGTATATAGTGTTTTCTGGTGGGCAGAGCTGAATGACTCTCCCGAACATTGTTTTTTAGTGAATTTGTGAGTTAAAATGATTCTTCTATCTCCTAAACCTCAACCAAGAGAGAAAAAGATGAAACAATAGCTCAGACAATTTCAGATTTACAACCCCGTGTACTAGCATAACTTTAGTATTACTCTGTCCATTAATGAAATCTCGAAACAGTTTGTGCACTTTTAGACATCAACATAGGGTGGCAATGAAGATCATAATTTCAACCACTCCATGAATGAAGAATAAGGAGAAAAGATACAACACATTAAGCAAAACTTTCTTTTAATCAAACCTGATTTATCCTTCATCGGTACACCAGTTGGCTGTCTGAAGAATCTTGGATCCGCAGAACCGATCAGACGTGATCTGAAATATCTTGACTCAGCATAAGTCAGTTTAGTTTGTGAAGAGTGTGAATCGTGTTGACTAGATGATCTGATGACTTCATTATTATTATTATTATTATTATTATTTCGATTATTGGCATTACTAGTCATTATTCCTTTCAACCAGTATTCCTCTGCTTTATCTCTAGCCGATTCATGATATTCCCAATTGACAGGATCAAAATTAAATGCCAGTATATTATGCTGTGTATTGACAATTAGTCTAATATGAAAAAGGAAATGGATATTTCATCAATAGAGTGGGATAAATAAAACTCAGGTGCGCATTGCATACTGCTTAAACAATCTTTGGCTAATGATAATCAAAGTTCCCTTATCGAAGTATCTTGGCTTTTAAGAACAGATTACAGTCACGTCGGTGGATTAGACGTAGAACGCTAGCCAACCACGCCTCACGTGATCCGAGGTCAAATTCCCGGCCGACACATTCCTTAACCTCGCTTAGCCTGTAGTAAGGCCACCGACGCATCTGACAGAATTTCTTTTGAACACATAAATTAGGCTTATTCAAGTAAATTCTGATGGCTTCCGCCATATACATCAAAGACGAACTCGTAAATTGAAAGTGAGATTAGTCAGAATACGTTAAGTGACTTTTAAATCCTTGCTAACATCGATTTTGTGTTTGTATCTACAAGATGAGGTAAAATAGAGCTACGAATAGACTCTGTCTGTCCCTTACTTAACCATACAGGATGATGTCAGGAAACCCGGTAAGGAACATGCCAATGAATTTGGCTATTTATGAGCAGTCCAACAGGTAGATACACACAGAGGAGGCGAAACTAAGTAATTTATCCTTAACTCCAGAATGCAAAACTGAAGTGGTTGTGAAGAGACAGTGAACTTGACAGACACTGAGTGCTTTTTTTATTGCACTCCTTAAGCGTCGTGTTATTATTTCTCTAATGTTTTCACCAAGGAGGTGCTGTTTTAAGAACACGGTAACTGTTGATATATTAGCTTGTTATGGCTGCAGATTTTTAAAAATATAATAATACCTCTATTCTGCACAATAAGTCTACACAATATGTACAATTTTCAGCGTAGTTTATAGCACAGTATTTTCTCTTTATCCAGGAGTTTCAAGTAAAACCACCATCTCCAGTACATCATGTGACGCAATACTATTTGACCTGAAGAATAAAATAATCCTTTATTGTATTTTTCTTTGGCTTCCCAGAAATGAGCAGCGGTAAGTTGCGAACGAATTAATAAAAATGTTAGTGAGTACATTTGGCTACCCACAGACATAATTGAATGATTATAAAAACAAAAATTAAAAAAAACAAGACACATTGTCTTGGATAGAAATTCAGATAGCCCAGTGATTCAAGCAGGCCGCTGTTATGGACACCAGTCTCAAAGAAATTATCCGGGCGACCGATTTCCCCTAGTAATTGTTTTATAATACTGAATTTTTCCTTATTATTAACGATTATTCTTAAATATTATATTTACATATACATAATTGTAGAGCAAGACGTGGACGTTATCAAGACGAGTATTTTTTGCTCAAACTTTCTTTGTCTTTTAAATATCTGAATGAAAATTTTCCCTATATTGAACTGAACTCAACTGGATTTTAGAAACAAAGCTTTTGTGCAAAACTGTACTAGTTAAAGTTGCCACGCCATATTAAAGCCCACATAAACGTAGGAAAAACAGCGAAAAATGCAGAGAAACTATAACTGATGTAAATTTACAGGACTAAGAAAAATTACATGAAAAATAATGAGAATTTAGTAGATCTAGGAGAGCTTAAAGAGTACATACATTTCCGCCATTGAATGCAGTATGTGATATCATACCAGTAACAGTCTCAAGCCAGTGGTTCTTACCATTTCGAAGACTCTAAGCTAAGATAAAGGAATAGTCAAATCACCAGACGTTAAAAGGAGATGTAAATGTGCAACTGAAATGATTCTTTTGAGGAGGGATAGTGCAAATATTGTTGCAGAATTATATGGGCCCACTTTACTTCATTGGGTCTCGTCATCTGTGTAAAACCCATAATATTTGATAAAACCAGTGCTAGTGTAATCTTAACATACATTTTATTTATCATCATGAATTAGTTCTCAAGCAAGGATTGTTGTAAAGAAGTCATAGTGAAACGAAACATAAGGATGGTATATATATATATATATATATATATATGAGCGAGGAGTTTTGTGAAAACTAAGTAATTTCATTGTTAGCATGGTGACAAGTCAGTGGAAAATGTATAGTCAGAAATAACTCTTAAAATTAGAAAATCAAAACTTGGTGGCAGTGTGCGTCGGTGGTACAGTGGCTAGAACTCTCGCCGACCATGCACATGGTCTGAGGTTCGATCCCCTGCCGACGCACACCCGATATCTATGGTCGGCCTACAAAATTTGGGCTACGGATATCCATGCTGAAAATTCCATACTTGTACCAAAAATACGGTGTTGGATCAAGCTGTAATCAAAAAAAGAGGAAAGGATGAATGTGAGACTGGCAACCGACAAGCTCATATACCCTTCAGCCATCGGGATCCAACTCACTAGCCTATATGATCAGTGAAGCCCATCCGGTAGCCAGTGATAGAAAATACTCACCCATGGCACATGGTGGTAGTCGCGCTAAAATCAGGAATCGGTAGAGGACCATTGAGTCGGGTCCCAGTGGCTAAATGGTCTATAAACTTGTCTTTTAACCGGAAGTTGCAGGGTTCAAACCCCGATGGGTGAGTACTACCATTGAGTCCCAAACCAGGACTGAACAGCAGGCTATCTGGTGATCCCTGTTGGTCTTCAATGGTTCTCTAACTGATATCAATCCCTAGTAAAACTTAAAAAATAAGTCAAATCCCTACAAACCAACTCATGGAAAGTTTTTTTATCCTTCACGTTCCCCATTGGAGCACAGGGCTTCAAGCTAGTGGCTTGAAGTTTCTGTAGCAGTGTTTATTTTACAGGATGGGGTTGCTAGCCTCATGCCCAACCTCTCCTCTTCACCAGCATTATTTCTGGTTTAGCGAGGTAAAGGAGTGCGTCGGCCCCGGACCCGGACCCCGGACCATGTGCATGATCGGCGAGCGTCCTAACCGCTATGCCACCGACGCACTCATGGAAAGTAACCTTGTTATAATTATCATAATAAGTAAAAGCGATTCCAGTCATCCTTACTCTTTAAAAGCAAATCCTTTTTTACAATAGAATCCTCTGAATTTCTGTTGGTTTAAAATTAACTTTATGTTTCAGTAATAACAGCGTAATAGAATTTCAGGATGACAGGCTATCGGATTTAGTTTAACCCATTGGATAAATGACAAAGTCCAGATCAGGAAACACGACACTCTTGGACTTTTAATCATATACGATCCGTCAGTAAGTCACCAATTATAGTGAACCATTCATCCAGTGCTTCTTGATTTGTAGTAATTTCGCCAAACGGTATCGCTTAGTGGTGGGCTCTGTCCTTAAATCTATCATAGATTCCATGATCTCACCAATTAGATCAAAAAAGTCAATCTGGTGTTCTTACGATGTAGAAATCGAAGAGTATTTGAATAACGTTACTAATATTCGGAGTTTATCTGAAAAATGTAACGTATTTTTTGCGCAATACATTTCGAACAGTCTGATCACACACCTTTACCTGCAAAAAATGAAAGGCCAGTTAAAATAAACAAAATGATGAGAATTAAGGTTAATAATTAATGCTACTTTCGGCAATATAATCCGATAAGGATTGTCAAAGTTGGTTTGGGGTGATACTAATTTGCTTTCATATATACATTTTTTTTATTATTTTGATTTCAGCTTGATGCCATACCGTATTTTCGGTACAAGTACAGAATTTTCAGCATAGATATCGGAAGCCCAAATTTACAGGCCGACCATAGATATCGGGTGTGCGTCAGCAGGGAATCGAACTCCGGACCATGTGCATGGTCGGTGAGAGTCCTAACCACTGTGCCACCGACGCACAGGGGAGAAGGCTTAGCTATCTCCTCAGAGTATTTTAGCATGGACTTCTCGAAGTTTCAACGCTCTTTTGATATCCATTTTGTGACTAATAATGGAGAAGATTTGTAGCTCAACTTGGACGGAACTCATAGAATTATGCCTAACAACATACTTCCATTTCAATGAGTAAATATGAGAACAGATAAAAGGAACACCAATAGGATATCCCACAGCAAGATTAATAGCTGAAATCGTTATGCAAAAGTTAAAATTAATAGCTCTAACTATGATCAAACCAAAACTTTGGGTAATTTACGTTGATGATACATTTGTAGTAGTTAAAAGAAATGTGATTTGGAATTATACCCACAAATTAATAAACAAACATATTTGAAGACATCAAATTCACAAGAGAAGAAGAATTAGAAACAAAATCCCATTTTTAGATGTCCTAATCAGGAGAACTAACACAGGAAATTTAGAAATAGGAGTATACACAAAATCAACACACATACGGAGCAAATACTCAACTATAGTAGTAATAACCCACGTACTCACAAAAGAAACTGTGTGCAGACACTGTTTACCAGAGTTTAAACGCACTGCAGCATTACTCCTGTGTTGAAGAGAATGGAGGAAAAATACCCACTAACCGTCATCAAAAAGAATGGATATCCTCACAATTTCACCATAGAGTGTTGAATCTCGAGTAATAACACCAACAACAAGCCAACATTAAACACTATTAAGACTGTCTCAAACAGATGTAACACAAAAGCCAGCCAGCACAATCACTTCATTCTATATTGTGCAAACCAAAAGACCAATCCAACAGAAAAAGAAGATAAAATTAATACCATTTACAAAATAAATTGTATGAACTGCAATAAACATTACATCGGTCAAAGTGAGCGTCCCCTTCGAATCCGAATCGAAGAACACAAATTGGCTGTTAAAAGACATGATATATATGTATATAAATGCTTCCATATCAGTGCATGTGGATAATTATGGACACCAATTTGATTGGAATAATATCGAAATTTTAAACAGAGGAAACACCAAAATTTCCAGGGAATTCCTAAAAGTCTGGTAGTCAAGTGAATCAGCCAGTAATTAACAAACACATTATTATAGACCAGATTTACCAGCTAATAAATTTCAAATTCCAAGTCCATAAAAATAATCAATACAGACATAAATTAACAACCAGTTATGACAATGGTTATCAGGAGATACAATTATATCATTCATGGAGATATCAACTGAGTTCATTTTATGCTGAAACCTACTCTGAGGACAACGAAAGCTTCGCAGTTAAATCAACCAGCTCGTCAGAGAACACAACTACTTCTTATGACTCATCTCAATTAATTCTTTTGCTATAGACGCAGTTGGTAGTTTGCCACCTGAGTCTATCAAGCTTTCACAGTCCAACTGTTTTTCAAACTATTTGAGTATGTATTCTTCCACCGTCACACGCAAAGCTCCATCACTCGCACTTATTTATGTGTATACAGTTTGGGATGTGACGTAATCACTAAGGCAACCTTTTGACATGTAGTAGGACAGGTTCTTAGCCTTTTTTAATAATTATAAGCCGGAGAATTTAGTCTCTGTCTTAAAATCCCACTACTTATTTGATACAGACATCTTTCTTTGTGACGCAATAGACTGTAGGCTTTGAAACTAAATGATCTCTAAGCCGGTTCAAAAACTTCACAGGATGTCAGCTCTCAAGAAGTATATTCATCAATATTTTACTCTCATCATCTGTAGCCTTAGCTCTATAAAAGCCCTGAATCCTCATAAACAAGTACTTACCCAAGCCTCTCTTATATTACAAGGTGCAAGTGTGGTGAGTGCTACTCATAAGATTTATCAGTAGTATATATATATATACAGGGACGTTCACTGGCATAAAAACATCAAATAGCAGGGAGATACATTTGATGTTAGAGAAGGCAAATGGTACAGCGTTGTGGAGATTCACGTGAGACTTGAAAGGAACACAAAGAAACACAAAAAGAAGGAAGGCCAGAAGTAGCAAAACACGGAAGATCTGTGCTAATGGTGCGTTGAAGATAAGGTATACATAATTTGCCTATGTAGAGATACCAATTACCAAATAAATATTCCTTTACCGAGTCTTTTGTCTCCTACTGTTACACAGGAACTGCTAAAATTTAAATACAGTCATTTTCAAGTAGATTAGTTATAAATCGACCGCTTTACTGAACCATCCTCTTCCCGACTCAGAAGTACGTCTAGAAATATGAGGTGATCGCTACTTTCTTCCCACAAGTAAGATTTATTTCATGCTGTACAGAGTAAAGTCTATCCAGTGGACGAATTGCATCTTCATGCTTATTGCATATCACAATGATATCATCAAGGTATCTCTTATAAAAAGACACCTTAGAGATCAAATTAGCAGATAAATACCCATTAGTTAACAATGGTCCTAATGAACTTCCCACAGTTTAAATGAACTGTCGTCAAGATTTGACAGAATAGTTCTAAAATATTTGGGTGCCGAGTGAGAAGTAGACATTTGTAAAAAATTATATTTGTACAATCTCAGCGAGATTGAAATGAGTAATTCCAACGTTTCGTTCGGAAATCTGGTCCGAACTTCTTCAGGGAAATTAATCGAAATTAACATATCAGAGGTTTATATATAAAAGGAACATCACTTGTTTTTAAAAACTTTGTCCAATCATGAGTCATTCAACAAGTATCAACAAGTATAATAAACAAAATTGTATGAGCTATGATCAAAATTTGACCTCGGACTTACAAATATTGGTCTACCTTTGTTAAAACACTTTAAAAAGAGTGTGCATGCGTGTGTGGGTAAACAGTTGTAAAACATTTCTTAACGTCTCCATAAGAAGATATAGACAGTCAAGAATTTTGACCAAGTATTATTAATTAGTGACACATATCCATTTTTATTTATCAATCAGGATTTCCTATACATCAGCTAACATCACACCAGATTGCCGACCGAAACGTTGGAATTACTCATTTCAGTCTCGCTGAGATTGTACAAATATAATTTTTTACAAACTTCCCACAGTAATTGATGACACCAAAATGAATGAAAATTCAAGTAACCTACCGATTTTCTAAAGGCATTAAACTTATAATTGGATCATGACGATAATTCCCGGGTAAAATTCTTTGACAATGTTGTGTTAACAGATTCCATACACGTATACGACCATCTGAACATCCAGTTATAATTCGTAAGTCAATTAATTCAACACATAATACTTCACTATATTTGAATGGTATATATAACACATAATATAAATATTAAAAGAAGAACTTTAAACAAAATTGAATATGGTTAGAATATGCAATAATAAAAAGAGCAAATAGATAAATTATTGTTATTATTGTTCCTTTGGCTTCCCAGTGGAACAAAGGCCTTTAACAACACTTCCCCCACTTTCTCCTATTCTCAATGGTTCTCGACATCAGTGGCTGACGATTGCCCATGTCACCTTCTGACGCCCCACTCGTCGTTTTCCACTTGGGTTATACTGAAGGACCCAGTGTCTAGCCTACTAGTTCGTTAGTTTTTTAACCTATCATACAGCCAGGAAAAGTGGGAAGGTTGGAAGTAGGACTAGCGATCCTACTCCGAAAAACCAATCCGATCACTACAAAATCTTCAAAGCACAACAAAAATATAAAAACTGGGCCTATTTCTTGCGCAGATTTGGGAGATTAAATGATGCAGCCAACCGATGTGTCTCCTATCGGAGAAAACAAAATAAGGACTGGGACGTGGAATGTACGTACAGCGTACGAAGCTGGGAAGGCTGACCAGGTTGTCAAACAAACGAGGAGATACTGCGTAGAAATATTAGCAACCTGTGAGAGCAGGTGAAATGGATGTGGACTATCGAAATTATCAATTGGAGAGTCAGCAATCTACTCTAATCACCCAGACTACAATTACAAGCACACACTATGAGAGTGGCTATCGTGATCTCGCAAACAGCAGCCAAAGCTATTATTCAGTGGGAACCAATCTCCTCCACGATAATTACAGAAAGATTCAACTCCAAAGGAGGGGAGCTTTTTTTATTCTTTTACGTTCCCAGTGGAACATAGGGCTTCAAGCTAGATGCTTTAAGTTTCTGTAGCAGTGATGATTATTTTTACAGAACGAGGTCGCTAGCCTCATGCCCAACCTTCCTTTTTTACCAGTCTTACTACCGGCTTAGCGAGGTAAAGGAGTGCGTCGGCCGGGGATCGAACCCCCGACCACCTGTGTGATTGGCGAGCACTCTACCGTGGTGCCACCAACGCACTATATCAAATTAGCTTACCTAAAATGAAGCTCTAATAGTACGTTGACCCCAGATCTCCAAAAGGATGGGAGCTTACAACTAACTAAAGCCACACGCCTACAAAATGGATAAACCGGGGAATAATTTTTCAATTTACTCAAAAGCTGTGACTATAAATATGTGAGGGTTGATTTTAACCTTCTTCCTGAAGTTAAAATATCATAGTCTAATTCAAAGTCCATAAAAATTTGACCTTATAGACCAATCAGATTTAGGAAACGCTATGAAATAAGTCATTCTAAATTAAATCATGCCTGCCGTTATGAATTTGCTGAGCGTAGGTACAGTATTCCACTTATTCTCTATGTACTTTTTCTGCAAACTTATACTGTTAGGTGTGCGTCGGTGGCATAGCGGTTAGGACGCTCACCGACCATGCACATGGTCCGGGGTTCGACCCCCGGCCGACCCACTCCTTTACTGGAAATAATGCTGGTGAAGAGGAAAGGCTTGGCATGAGGCTAGCAACCTCATCCTGTAAAATAAACACTGCTACAGAAACTTCAAGCCACTAGCTTGAAGCCCTATGTTCCACTGGGGAACGTGAAGGAAAAAAAAATCATCTGACAATAATAGTTCGTACATTTGTATGCTTTTGTTGAATCACATCACTGCAAAATCACTATGTATGTCCAGAAAAGGTGTGTCATTATATCTCAAGAGATATTCTTGACCATCTAAATGTTAAGCTGACAAACAGTAACGTACACTTTATGTATTATAACTATCAATACAAATATACAGCAAGTGAAAATGATTCGTTGAAAAAGGAAAATGTATGCTGGACACCAGTGTTAAGTCAGTCGGTGTTTTTATATTGGTCATAAACTTGGAAAACGTGTCGCGAAAGACTACCGCAGGCTCTTATCGACAGCTGTCTTCTCTTGTTCCATACTCAAGATCAAATGGCCGGCCAAGAACAGTTAGCAATAAGAAACCTCTAAGAATGAACCAATAGAGAACCTAATGATCAACAAATATGTAAAAATAAAATAGAGATGGATCGAACAAATGCTGAGGAGACTGTTGAGTGACATTGCGTGCAGACAGAATCTCAAGTGAAATCGGAGTGGGAAACGACGAGCTGGGTGTTGCTTCGAAGCTGGCATGGAGGAGATCGTGCGAGGAGGAGATTAAACTTTGTGGGGAGTCGTTGGGTCAGAGGAAGAGGACTGCAGAGAGCAGGGCAAAATGGAAATGTTCCACTCGAAATTGAAGGAAATAATATATGTGCTGAACCACCATTCACTAAACCAGGCGTGAGGACGAATACTCGCCACGGATGACATTGGCTAGTGATAGTGCCATGTCGTGAACTGGCAGATGTTGGAATTCGTGGACTGGTCACTGGATCGAGTCCTAGTGGCCTAATGGTTCACGAGCCCACTAGGCTTGTAACCAGAAGGTCCTGGGTTCGAAATCTAGCGAAGGGTGAGTACCGATGAAGAGTCCCAAAGCTGGGCTGACGAAACAGCTGTCCAGTACTCTCAGTTGGCTTTCCAATGGTTCTCTAACCGATTTCAGCTCACGATGAAATCCTGTAACCAATCGATCAAATCCATACAAGCTAATACTTGAAAATCTATTTTCACTAATGACAAAATATTTCATCAATTTCGATTCGGCTAGTTCACTTGGTATAAGCTTATCAGGCAGTTAGTGTTATTAGTGGAAAACAAAGCAAGCAATTATCCATTGAAGCTACATAGTATACTCGCCAAAATTTCAGTTCGAAATGTTGACTCAAAGGGAATAATTTGAGAAAAAGTAGTTCTTTGACTAGCAGTGTTTACTTATAGCACGTGGACCTATGGCTAATGATTTTTCAAGTTTTTGTAGTTCAACGGGATTTCTCGGTGTTCGAAGAGATGCTCTACGGTGTTCACTTCTCCTAATTTTGGTTTCTCGAGATGTTTGTCCGATGTATATCGCATAATCAAGTTAGTAAACTTTGTTTTGATATCATAAGAGATGTACTATTACCTTTGCTATTTGGTTTAGTGATCTTTATGGTTATTTTGACTTTCAGTATATCCCCTTTAACTTGACCTAAGTTTATTTTCTCACCTCTTAACTCTGTTATACATATGCTGAGATTTTGTAAATTCCGGTTTAATAATAATTTGTTAAAGCTATTAGCATTAAATAGTGAAACGTCAGTAAAAACAATAATATCGTTTTGTTTTTCATCCATTGGGAAATACAAAAACCTTCATTATATAATGAATATGTATACCCTGTATTAAAATCGTCATATTGTATTTCTTTGTCTTCTTTTCGTGTCTCCGTGCTTTTGCCGCAAAATAGCTGGTTCATTTCCTCTCTATCTGACGTCAAATCTATCCTACCGCTATATGATATTTTTGTGCGGCGATGAATGTCTGTTTATTTACTACTGATAAATCTTGTCAGTAGTACACGCCGCAATAGTAGAATTATGCTGATTTATACTGAAGATGAGGAGGAAAGATTATTTATTGGTGCTGTATTGCATTTCAGTGATTTTAACATCTCTCATATAGTGTATTTGTATAAATTCAGAGATAATTAAAACTAATTATTGTTAGTTATTTAATGGGATAAATTTTCGCCAAACGATAAAATGACAGAAAATAATGATTTGTTTAAATGCATTATTATTTCAAGTAATTGATGTACAAAAACTGGACCATCTGAATAATTTTTATCTCGAGATGAAACCATCAATTAGATTAATCGTAAAGAGAAAGAAAGCGGACTTTGATTGTCTCTCTCCACTCATGTATCACATGAACTTCCTGATATTTAATATGTATCAGATAGGCTTATATATAAATTCAAAATGAGAATTTGAACTCAAACACGCTAAATCAGTCCGTTAAACATAAGTCTTGCTAATATTGTAATTTTGAGGTACTCTATTAAGCATAATAATAAACAGATAAAAAGGAATTGATATTGTGGTGAGAGCTGACTGCAAGACACAATTGTAGGCAACAATCGACGTCAGTGTTTCCTCATGACCCCGATTCGGGGTCTAAGACTAACCTTGAGGAAATCAACAACCAGTCACAGCAGACTTAGCGTGGGCGGATATGACTCGCAGATATATCACCGGACTGTCTAAGAAACGGACACAATGAGATGACAGAATAACCTTCAGCAGGAAAACAACCAATCAGAAGACGTTGCTTCTTCGCTAACAATAACCAATATCAATGTACATAAAAATCTGTAAATATCTGTTGATTTTCTCAATAAACGATCTGATGCCTGGCCTCTGTCTTCTTTGGTTACAATGTCATATTTCTTGTTTCTGAATACTCAGTGAATTCTAGCCTCAAAATCTATTCTGACGATATGATTGACAAAGGAAGTCGGAAATCTGTGCCTAATACCTTAGAACAGTGGATATGCCTAAAGATTTATAGAAAGAAATAAAGCTTAAGAATGCACGAATTAGGAAATAGGCATTCAGAGGTGACATCATTGCTGAAGTACTTAGAATTCGTTCTCCCGAGTGTATTAAACGCTCTTTTTTTCAAAGATGCTGACCTACGCTTTGTATTTTCCACCGAAGTATTATTCGACAGTTCCTGAGAGATAAAATTTAGTTTACGTCCATTTTTGCAAGCATCTACTCTTTCACTTGCTCCTGTGCAACTAATTACTCTACACCTTGTAAGCGAATTCTCCGAAAACGTGTGGCTGAACACTACCCAGTCTGCTTAATGTAAGGTATGACAGAACTACTAGCTACCTATATATGAGCGGAAAGTATCCAAAATATATCCAAAAATATTATGTTAAACCTAATTCTTTACCTTGGTCATTGTTAATGTTCTTTAGGGGGGTAATTTCTTTCCCCTTTCCGTTATTTCCACCTCCTTCACTATTGTTATCATCAACTTAATTTTTCAGTTTTGAAATCATCTAACCGATCTTCGGTCTCTTGACACCAGTTCAGTGTGTTTTATCATCTTTGTTAATGCTGTAATCTTTTCAGTCTAACCCTACCCTTGTAAAAACCATATTAGATGTTTTTATTATATGTATTGTGAAGGGATAAATTTTAGTGCTACTGAATTCCTTTTCATGTGGTAGAAATACGATTGTAATAATAATGATAATAATAATTTGCTCTATTCCAGAACAATACGTATGCTGGCTGCAGCGTGGAATTCTCAACATTTGATACAATATCTAATTTCCTCAGCAATAACCAAAATGAAAAATATATTAATAGGCATAATTAAACGAAATTGATAACAGCAATTTTTTGATATTAGCGGTGAAAATGAAGTCAAAATCTATAAGAAGTGTAAAATAATAATAAAGAGGAGAAGGTCAGGGAACCATTTATTAGGCTAAATACATAGTAAGTTGTAAGTATCATGCTTAACACTATCTCTATCACACATAGAACGTAGGCGGGCCAAACTGGGCGTGGTTGAGTTTTAGTACTTGGTTGTGTGAGCACACAGTCTTTTATAACGACTTCTAGTCCTACTTGATGAGATGCATGAAGGGGAGAATTGCAAATAAAGAGGATGCATGGATTAAGACCATTTCTTACATGAGTTCAAGTGTCTATCAACTACTGTAGTAAAGAGCTAATTAAATGGCACAGCACTTACTTAACTGAAAACTTTGAATACCCTTCGAAATAGAACGGGGTCCTTTTTGAGTAACCCAGAAGAGACTAAGGGGGAAGATGCAAGAGACAACAAACGGCAAAAACAGTGATTGAGTAGTACCTGACTATCTTAATTTCTTAGAAATCAATAAGATAATGGATTACCAAGAAAGATGAGAGAAAGGAACTACTCCAAGGTATTTTATGCCTGATTTAGTCTCTTTTTGAGTACCTACTACACTACAAGCATCTCGTGAACAAACAACTTTGTGCAGATCATGTTTATGCCTGAAGTTAAGATAAGACCATTTGACTCAAACCACTGACTACTGTCCGACAAAATGCCATTAAGTTTGGAACAGTCAGAGTATGAAAATGAAGTCCCTCCAAAAAAGAAAAATGTCTTCACCCTCAACAAGCCTTCGCTTTTACTTATTCAGGAATAAATGGCTATATATCGTCATGTGAATTCTATCTACCAAGCTTTTTGGGCTAGACTATTCACTACTATAGTTCATAATAACTCTAGATGAATTAGTGATAGGATCCCGCATAAAATAGTACATCATCCTTTCTCACGCATATTGTGACTTGTGTATAATCAATCATTTCTCACGGCTGTGAGCCAACTTTACTGTTGTACAGAATCTCTATAAATATCATGTGTCGTTTTCTTAATAAATATACGGTACAGTACAGTATCTTACTGTCACAGGCCAGCCTTTTATCTTTTGGTATTTTTGTGGCTCAGTGAATTGGAAGGTACAACGGACGAATAGGCATATTAGGGTACCAGTCAAGTTCGCTACCGTCATAACAAATGGCAGGCGCAGACATAAATATTATATTAGTTGTAAAACTTATGAAAAAAATAGTAAAATGTTTACAGAATGCGAACAAAACAATGGACAGTCATTATCATCACCATTATAATAGTTTAACTTACCCAGTATGTATTAGTGTTCCCAAGCAATCAGTGAACTCCCCGATTATAGACCATATTTTAACAGATTTATCTTTCGATGATGTAACCAAATGATAACTATCAAATCTTAGGGCTGTAATACACTCAGTATGATCATTTAGTGTCTGAAATATAAAAACCAACAGACGGGGGTGGATAACAAGAAATATACATATCGTAAGTAATATCCGAAAATGAAATGAAAAATAATGATAATAATATATCTCAAGTGAGAGATACGGAGAGAATAAAATATGTACTGGATGCAGAACTCCACCAACGGGAACACGCTGAATTCGGGAAAGGCAAACCATGTGCTGATCAAATTGCAGCTCTAAACATCATCATCGAATAAAGCATAGAATGACAGTCAGACCTGTATCTTAATTTCATCGACTTCGAAAAAATCTTCGATGGACATCGTTGACCAAGAAGTAATTTGGAAATTACTTCAACAATACTGCGTGCAGTACCCAAGTCTTTATCAACCTCATTCAGCAGCTGGTTATATGACAGTGACACGTGCCAAGTGTTCCACAACGGAAAACTCAGCGAAGCGTTTGAAGGGCATAAAAGGGTAAGACAAGGCTGCCTGCTTATTATCACCCACGATGATAATCCTAGTTGCGGTGGACTGGATTATGCGTCAGACTGTAGGGAGTGAGGAGACACGGAATATACACATTGGGTCATAGGAGTTATTAAAAAGACAATTGCAGCGAAGAAAATTTTTTTTTCGACGAAGTCATCATCTAGGCTGTACATTCGTGTATTTATATTAAATGGATAGGAAAGTTCCAGAATAATTTCTGGTTAGGGGTCAAATTAATAAAAATTACAATTAGGAATTAAAATGACATAACAAATAGGAGGATGGGCAAAACTCAAACAAAGTAGCATTATAATAACTAAGAAGATTGACATTGTGCAATTGGGGGTTAGAAATGTAGAAATAACAAAATATACAGGATGTTTGGATAAAAAACTAATATGATGAATAATTGTTTATGCAATCAGGGATTAAATTTGTAGAAATAGTAAAATGACAAAATAAACAGGAAGAGTGGATATGAAAATATGGTAGTGTAAACAGGGATTAAGAAAACTTGAAATAACATGAATAAACAGGAGGTTTAGATAAGAAAGGCGATGAGATTGTCATTACTAAATAATTTTTTACCTGTTTATGATGGCCATGGTAGGGAGAGGGGTTGGACATAATTCTTTTCGATACAAAGTGTGGGTTTGAGCTTTTGGATAGCTAGCGCCTCAGCTATGCCCAGATGTCTTGATTTGACTCCCTTTGACAGGTTTGATTGAATCTTGTATATTACTTTGAAGGACTTTTCGAATGGCACTGAATGTCCTGAGTTGATCAGATGTTCTGTCACTGAACTGCATGCACGTTTTCGGTCTCCTTTTAGTAGCCAGGCTGGGTAGTGTTCGCGAGCGCGTTTTCCAAGTCGGCGCATGGTACGGCCGATGTACTCAGCTCCACAAGAGCAAGTAAACTGGTATATGCACGTCAAAGTGGCCCAATATGACAGCTTGTCTTTCACGCTCTGGCTGAACAGTTTCTTGCAAGAAAACGTCAGTCGTAGGCTCGCGGCGAAGTATGTTTTCCTTAGAGATTTGCAGAGAGGTTTGCGAAGGATTTCTGCTTCAATATCACCTTTGAATTCTAGATTAAGCAGAACTGTTTTCTTTGGAACGGATTGGACTTGTTCTGAAGTCTTAGTCTTAGATTTGAGGTTTCTGTCTATGAACCTGGGCGGGAAACCGTTTTCCATCAAGGTTTTTCGGAGATTACGCAGTTCTTCTTCGATCACTTCCTCGCTGCATACCTACTGAATCCTCGAGGAAAGAGCGTATATCAGGTTCCTCTTTCTGCTTAGGGGCACGAAGCTTTGAAAGTTGATAAATTGTCCATTCCAAGTAGGCTTTTTGTATATGGATCTTTTCAGGGAGTTGTTGGCGTTTCTTGTCAGCTGGACGTTGAGGAAGTGGAACATTCCGTTGGATTCAGTCTCAAGTGTGAAGTCGATGTTTGGGTGGGCGTTTTGAAGATTTGAAGTAGGTTTTTTAAATCACAATTCTCATCACAAATAATGAAAGTATCATCGATGTATCTCTTATAGAGATGGAGGTCGTTGATAGTTGATGATAATGGGTTGTTTTCTAAGCTAGCCAAAAAGCAGTCGGCTAATAGGGGTCCTAAGGGAGAACCCATTGCTACCCCATCTACTTGCCTGTATATTTCCTTGTTGAAACTAAAGTACACGTTGAAGGTGCATCGTAGTAACAGTTCTTTCAGGTAATGGATCGGTATACCAACATCGATGCTATTGGATTGAATGTAGTCGCAAAGGAAACAAACGGTTTCTGTCAGTGGAACGTTGGTGAAGAGAGAGACAACATCCAGGGAGACCACTTTCTTTTCTGCCACATTGACATTCTTAATTGATTCAACAAAGTCGAATGTGTCACGGAGGCTGTGTCTTGAAAGCTTCTCTTTCACCGGCCCGAGAATCTCCACCAGCCATTTCGCGATTGTATGATATGGGGAGTCTATCATATCTAGTATTGGGCGGAGTGGGACGTCTTGTTTGTGCACTTTAGGTAAGCCGTACATGCGCGGTGTTGTAGAACCAGATGGGCGCAATTGTTCGTATAGTTTTGAACTGATAACGGATTCGTCTTTCATTTTCTTCAATATCTTTGTGAGGAGACAGGAATACGTTGGACTGACCGAGAAGACTCTAAAAGATCTGGATGTCGTGTGTGGATGACCTATGTTTCATGTCACACAAACTAGAAGACTTCCAAGTGAAAACCAAAAAATTGGTTGAAGAAGCAGGCGGTGAAGATAGGACTCCAGGTGAACATAGAGGAGACGAAAGTGATGAAGATAACCAACCAACCAATACCAATCACCACCAACGGGGGAGATTGGACAAAGGTTACTTCCTTCACTTATCTGTCTAGGAAGCATAGTTTCAATCACAGGAAGTCGAAACGGATGAAAATATCAAAGTCAGCCAGCCAGCCAGAATCGCAAAGGCAAGATACGCCTTCATCAATCTGAAACCAGTTTGAAAATCTTCCACTCTCACTCAGTCAGCATAAACAACAAGATTTGGATTTTCAACACAAACGGTGGGTCAGTAAGTTCTTCCGTATGGGTCAGAAACCTGCACTGCCTGTTACGAAAAGCATTTCCAACAAGTTACAGACTAACATCAACAGCTGCCCTCTTCGCTTTCTGGCTCCATACTGAAGATCAAATGGCCGCCTGGCTGGCCAGAAAGAATTAGCAACAAGAAACTCTGGCTGAGAACAAACCAGCCAAGAGCCGATTGCCTAACAAATGTGTAGGAGAATATGTAGACGCATCGAACATACGTTGAGGAGGTCGTCGAATGACATCGAGCGCCATTGCTCAAGTAGAATCCCAATGGGAAGAGATGGGTGGGTCGTCAGTGCGAGAGTGACATAGAGGAGGTCATGTGGCAAGGAGAAAATGAGAGATTTAGAGCAGTGGTGGACAGAGCTAAAGAGGACAGAGGAAAATAGAACAGAGTGGAGATGCGTTATTGAAGCCCTGTGCTCCACTCGGAACCCGAGGGAATAATAATAATCGCAAGTTAAACTTCGGAGTGATATCAGTTAGAGAAACACTGAAAACCCCTGGCTAATAGATATCTCCTTTGTTCTTGTTTGGGACTCTTCAAAAGTACACACATATGGTCTCACTAAGGATGTAACAACGTAAGCCCTTTTACCATTCGGACACTTAAGTGTAATCCACTACCCGGTCTATGAATTCTAACTCCTGCTGGATCGCAGTGTGTTATGCCACCATCAGTCAGTATCGTCAGTCAGTACCTATTCTCACACTCGCCTTATCTGGCAGCACTGATCACAAGTAACAGTTGGAAAATAATATTGTTTTACTGTGTTATATGTCTGTTGAACAAACTAATATAGGTTCAGTAATTTAAATATCTCTATATCATAACTAGAACAAACCATACAGAATCAAGAGCTTTTTTCAGACAATTTGAGGACTCTTCAGTGGTCTGCAGTAACCAGCTTAGGGGTGTCAAAACTCTTTGCGACTACAATACCAGTCAGCAACTGTTTTTTAAATCAAGTGATACAAACTTTTTAACTCCCACCTATTTGTAATATAATGTAACCATCATTCAGCAGCATTTACTTTTGGTGACAGGATTTCATGATGAGCTGACAATGGACAGAGGACCATTTGAAAACCACCAGGGAGTACTGGGCAGCTGACTTTTGCGTCAGCCTACTCTGGGACTCTATAACAGTACACAGGCGCCATCAAGTGTCAAACACAGGACCTCCTGGTTACAAGGCGAGCTCGTCGACCATTAAGCCACTGGGTTCTGATCCAATGGCAAGTTCATGAATTCCAACTTCTGCCATTTCACGACGTAGCACGACCACTAGCCAAACTCATCGGTGGCGAATACTTGTTCTCACACCCGACCTGCTGTACCCAACTGGTCACGACTTCTAAACAGAACCCCAGGTAACTGCCTACTTGGATGAGGTGGGTGTGTACTGATGACCAGCCCCAAACTAGGATGAAACATTAGGCTGTCCAGTACTCCTTACTGGTTTTCCAATGGTTCTTTAACCGATGTCAGCTGATGATGAAATCCTGTTACCAGTCAATCAAATTCCTACAAACCAATACTCGAATATCATTTATTTTTAATTCAATTTTTGATTTTCCCTTTGACTGACTGGATAGGGTTCGACTCTCAATAGTGACACCATCACTCACAGGGGAATGCAGGTGCATCTGCTGATGAGTCCCAAATAGGACGAAATATTCATTGTGGATTCCACACTGCTAGTCACCATCCACCAAATTATTTCAGATTACTATACAAAACAAAATAATTGAGCACAGATTATCATTTTCGATAATTTCATCCTCTTCTGGCTCTACAATGATATATATGTATGTTTATAAACATAGAATATTCTAGAATAATAGTCAATAACAATATTGGTGTTTTTTAAATAATATCGATTTGTTAATTAAGAACAATAGAATTACAGTTCATTAAAGATGCATAAATAATAATAATATAATAGCAAATAGAATATCAAATAAAATTAGAGAAATTTCTACAAAACATTTGATGATCATTCGAACCTAGATGGCCAAGGTAAGGACAATGTCTGGACTAGCTCCTTTTGGACACATAAATTAGGCTTCTTAATGTGGATCCCATCGGCCTCAGCAATATTTAGTAGTCGAACTCTTAAGGCGAAGCTAAGATTTGTTGGTATGCGGTAAATGACTCTGAAAGCCTGGTTAACATCAATCTTGTGTTCTGTATCTACAAGTTGAGATAGAATAGCGCTACGGACAGACTTTGTTTGTCCTTTGCTCAACCAGGCAGGGTGATGTTCGGAAATCTGGCGAGGAACACGCCTAAATTTTACGGCCTATATAACTGGCTCCACAGGAACAGTCAAATTAGTAGGTTTACATGGAAGAGGAGAAATTTCAGATTATTCAACGTCACTGATGAGTATCTGTTCTCAAATTCACCTTAGTTAATTTTACTACTCATGACTTTTCTTTTAGATCTTCAAGAAATATACACCGAAGTAAACGGTTAACAAGAACCAGATACTCATTCTTTTTCAGTGAGCACAATTAAAACACAACCATACTAAGAAAATCTAACTGTCCAGTGCTCATTGGTTAGGATAGTAAATTCGAAAGGTTTTTAAATAGGAATCTCAAGCACATTTATTGCATTTTTAGCAGCGACGGAAACCTAACGTTTACAGTTTTACCAGAGACCAAGCATTATGCTATCGGTAAATGGTACAAAAAAGCTAAAAGAATGCCAAAACCGCTTAGACTTGTCCACGACTGCCTTTTAAAGGTAACCAGACGAAACTCAGGAGTGACTCCTGTTAGTCACGAACCATACATCCAACTAGGGTCCTTGTGCACTAGAGTTACTGCGGTGAAAGCTGCTTGCTAGCCACAACTGTAGACAACAGTTGATATCAGTGTTTATTTCCCAAATGAGGGTCATGAGAAAAAACAATAACAAAGCTTAACCTTGAGGAACTCACAGTAGACTTAACATGTACAAATACGATTGGACTGACTTTCTAAGAAATGTCCACAAAGAGATGACAGAATAACCTTCAGCAGGAAAACAACCAATCAGAAGACGTTGCTTCTCTGCTAACAATAACGAATAATGATGTACATAAAAATCGATAAATATCTGTTGATTTTCTCAATAAACGATCTGTTGCCTGACCCTTTTCTTCTGTCGTTACAGTACTCCAAGGTATTTCAAGAAAGGCGGTACCAACCCATGAACACAGCCACTTCATGCAACATTGTTGGCTTACTGACATGCCTTTGTGAAGAGCTACTACATTATCATTTACCCCATCCTAACTATTGCTGGTACCGACAGTTTCCCCAAAATCGTAATAATTACGGTTGACCCGGGACACTTATTAGATCCCCACATAAAGTTAGAGAGTCAACCTTAAACCAATTAGTTTAACTAGAGGGCCAAATATGCCCGAACCAGACATACCAACCCCTGCAGCGACGGGAACCACTGGGAAGTACTCATAGCTTGTAACTTTACTTGTTGTGTATAAAGATAACCCCCTAGTATGGATGACAAGATTATGTCAGAAGACTTTAAGCCACTACGCATACCCAGTCAAGCATCTTCACATTGATACTCCTCACTCAGGGCGATTCGTGAAAAATTAGATGACGAGGCATTTGACTACCTTAAGAGAGTCATAGTTTGAAATGTCTATGCCAATACGAAAATTCTTTTTAAGCCTATATATACCTTCAATAAAGTTGGTTTATTAATGCCTATTCTCCAGACATTGACACGTCCATTACGTTCACCAGTTGTGCAGATAAATCCTCTTAAGCCGACTGCAGTAACTGCACTAGCATGTTTCATTGTCCATATCGGTTTACGTTCATCTAATCTCCATACTAAAATAAGGAAAGAAAAAGACTAAAACAACATGACAATCAAATTTGCAATTTGCAGATGTAACTACTTACATCAACTAATTAGTACTATATGGTCACGTCTTTAAATGTTTCGCAGAACATTTTGTTGATTCATATAACAATACTGATATTAATATTAACATTTATTTCGACTTGTAAATTCCCCACTATTTTTTGTTTTATTGATTCGAAATGAACGATTCATGCCAGATGCCTTTATGATGCTGCCGATCTTTTAACATTATTTGGTGGCAGGTGATGGCAGTCAGTGGAATCCAGGACAGCCACTTTGTTCACACAGTAACCATGGCTACCCGCCGCTCAAGAGGCGGTTATCGTGGCTTAACATCCTCACGTTAGTGCTATGGTGTTTGAAAAGGTAGGTACTAAGTTCGGGTGTCTATGTAAACATATTCTGGTAGGTCCAAAAAGGGGACACAACATATATCTTGAATTTTTTTTCCTATTGACGACCTATCAAATGACCTATCGAAGTAATTAGCCTTTTAAAAATCAACAACTTGGCGGCCTGCTTAAGACTTGGGCTACCAAAAAGCAACCTCCATCAATATATTGCATATTCACTTCGATTAAATCGAGAAAAATATGACTTCGACTGGTGTTATTTACTCTGGAGATAATTTTAAATACTTACATCCTCCTCATTCACAAGTTTCTACTAAACACGAAGAAAACCATCAGATTCGATGCCAGCTTATGCCCCTCACACACGCACACACACACATTAGATGACCGTTCCGGAGGGATGTTCTTGGTTCACAAAATGTACTCCTGAACCTTTTATAATCAGCATTCAACAAAATGTCGTGTTACTGGATTTCATCATGAGCTGACATTGATTAGAGAACCACTGGAAAACCTGCAGGGAGTACTGGACAGCTGTTTCGTCAGCCTAGTTTGGGAGTCTTTGACAGTAGCACCCCCCGCCAGATTTCGAGCCCACGACCTTCTGGTTACAAGGCGAGCTCGTAGACCATTAAGCCATTGGGACCCAATCCAATGGCCAGCCCATGATTTCTGACATCTGCCAATTCACGATATAGCGCAACCGCTAGTCACTGTCTTCGGTGAGTATTTGTCCTCACAACCGACCTGCCTCACCCTACTGGTCACAACTTCCCACTAGAGCTCCAGGTAACTACCTACCTGAATAGGGCCAGTCGCCAGTGAGCACCTCATTGATATTCAAGTATTGGTTTTTAGGGATTTGGTTGATTGGTTACAGGATTTCATCATTGGTTCCAATTGTTCTCTAAACAATGTCAGCTCATGATGAAATCCTGTAACCAATCAACCGAATCCCTACAAACCAACACTTGAAAGACATTATTGTTATGTAGAAATAAGAATAAAAAGTGCCACAACCACTATATGATTCTAACTTTAATTCAATCTTTTTTATTTAATTCATCCAACTTCCTCATTTAAATAACCTCAACTAATTGTCGAAGTGATTCTACTTGAGTTAAGAGTGCACTTTTTGATAAGTGGTCATTCAGCATCACTTTTGAGTAATTTCAGTCAGGTAAAAATTTCGGCACTTGAACACCTTGTCCACAATGGTCATTTTATCTCAAAAGCATGACCTGTCAAAATCAGTGCACTTTTGTCTGAAGCATCAGTCATCGAAATAGATAAGTTAAGGTCCTGTAGACAGACAAAAAATTTGTTCGACCACTTCTTTTTTTCATTGACATAACCCGGTTATGTTAAAATTATTAATAATTTTAAGAAAAACCCTAATAGAAAATGGATTTTCACTGCGTTTTTAGGATAAGAATATACAGTCAAAACCTATGAAATGTGAATTATCACCCGTGACCAAGAAATTACCGTACACCAGCTTAGAATTCAAGATAGACTTACCTTCCGATATCATGGAAAGAACGATCTCAAAATCCCTGAAAAGAACACTCCCTGCAACATCTTTGAGAATAGCCTTTACCAGTCGACTATTACTGTTAAATGACCTGAAGGGCAAGATCCCGCTGTTGACTAACTCTATATGCGTTCATCAATTCACCTGCTCGTGTGGAGCTAGGTAAATCGGTCGTTCAACTCGGGTTTCGCCCAAGAGGATGCAAGAACACTATCCCCTACATGGTTATGAAGAGGTAGAAGTGGAGCAGTAAGAGGCGCGATCATTGAATATCTGGTCATTATTAATAATCACCCTATCTCTATAGCCTCCTCCTTTAAAATCATCTACAAGGCGAAAAGTAATTTGCCTAAATCACTACATTCAGAGGACGTTTTAGTCTCTCCAGGTTAAAACGAGGGGTATAAAAACTACAGAGCAAGAGAAAAATATAGAAAACAAACTTATTTATTGCTAGAATTGAAGATAAAATGGTAGTGGGTGGTGAAAACCGATGAAGCAGAAAATTAGCATAGAGACGAAGAATGCTCGTTTAATGTACAAAGACAGGAAGGCCAAAGAAATTAGAAGATACAGCATGGAATTTCTCAGAATCTGTGGGAGCAGGTGGAATGCATGTGGACTGTCCAAACTACCGAAAATATCCATTGAGTCATGAAGAAAATGAAATATAATTCAGAGAAGAAAATTTCCTCTACAGACGAAGTCATCTTCAGAGGCTGTAGAGTCCATTATTGAGTAATAAAGGGTTATATAGTTGAAATAATTATTTAGAAGTGGCTTCGGAAGTAGAAATAAAAGTTTTAAATTACGTAATACTCAGCAGAAAAAAGGAAGAAAGGGTTAGGAGTTTGATAAGGTTAACATTGATATTAAGTGACAAGAAAAGAAGCTGAGTAACCACTAAACAAGTGTGAAAAGGGCGAAAAAATGTACAAAAAGAAAATGTGAGAGTAATAATATAGTGAATTTATTATTTAAGTAAAAGCAAACTGAAAGTAAAAATAAAAATTTACCGGGAACGACTAGTGAAGAGTTTAAGTCTATGGTAGAATAAGAGACTGGATAAACCTTTTCTGTATACAGATTTCGGGGTTTTATTAATGAATCGCCACACCATAAACAAATGCCGGAACCTTACGCTCTTTGTGCAATTCGATCTCACGTTGTAGATAATCGTGAAAGACGACTCTGGTGGAGCTACGTGGCTTGAGTTCACCAAGTGCTCGAGAACTGAATTAGTAACTGTCTTGCATTGTCCTTTTGGAAAACATGCCGGATAATGTTCAAGGATGCGTTTGGAAATTGTGTACTTTATGCGGCCAATATAACTACCACCCCAGTAACAAGTGAATTCATAAGCCCACAGTGAAGTCACCCAAAGCGGCAGTTTCTCCTTCACACATCCATTGATCATTTGTCTACTGTAAACATTGATCCACAGCTCATCAGAAAAGAAGCCTTTTCTTGGTGATCTGGATAAGCCGAATTGTGTTTTATTTTCTTCATGACTCTCCAAATTGTTAATTAGAGTCCATAACCCACTCCGGTCACCAAGACGACAACCACCATCACATCGATGTAGTGGCTATCATTGTGTCACCAACAGTAGCTAAAGCTCATATACAGTCGGACCGATCTTCTCATGCAGGATAATGACAGCAAGATTCAACTCAAAAGAAAGGGAGGTTACAGTTATCCAATGCTACACACAATGCTACAAACAACGCGGAACAAAAGAAGAAGGAAGATTTTTATAGACAGCTACAAACACATCCCAAATAGTGACATCAAAATCCTCATGGGCAATATGAATGCCTAACTGAGGGCAGATAATACAGGAAGAGAACTCATCATGGGTCGAGCGTGATTCTACTCCAGCTTTTGCAAAGGCCTAGCCCGAGAACGTTACTTCGTCTTTTTATGCATCTGTCCTCTCTTAGTCCACCGAGGGAGAAAGTTCTTAAGTGGTTGGGCCACACGATAATTCTGCATTCTGGTCTCGTCTCGAAAGAGGTAGGAATAAGTGTGTTCAGTTCTCCTGAATACCAATGCTTAGTCAATGAGTGTGTCACTATCTGTCTTCTCTTCTGTTACGTAATCAACTTTTGCGCGCGCTTATTCTTTAATTTCTCTTCATCTTTTCTAAAATTATGTATTGCGCAATCCATGCGTTGTAACCATTTCTACCTTTTAATTGTGTGTATTAATTTTCTTCGTTAATTATCACGCAATCAACATGTTGACACTGGCTAATTATTGTTGACAAACATATCAGTGCCACTTGATTGGTAAATTGTTGTGTATAGTAATAAAAATGCCATATATTACGTAACTCTTATTCTAATGACACATATTTGGAATCATTCCTTCTGAGCTTGAAAATGACATCACTGAAAAGAGAATAACTCCTTGTCGAAGGCCTTTTCCTTCTTCTCTATTCCTTTTTCTCTTAATCGTCTCTTTTTCCATGAAGTAGAACTTTCAGACGTAGAATAAAACATTATAAACAAGGTTAACTAATTAAACCTCTCCAGCTCGAAACAGATACTGACTATACAAGACTAAAATCAATAAACAACAACTTACCACAACATGTACAATCCACTGAACCACTTGCAAACTGATATGTACCTTGAATTTCATCCTTTTTAAAGCTTTTATCAGCATTTTTGCTTTCATCATTATACTTGATTGAATTGTAACATGTATGCGGTCGTCTTGACTTTGTTGTCAATAAATTTGTTTTAGGCCATAACTTGCTTTTATCTAACCATATACACAGTACAGTATCTGTATGACCACGAAATATACGTATACACTTTGATCGACTATTTCTAAAGCTAACTGGATTCTTCATAGGCATATTCGCATTGACACCCGGTTGTTGTTGTTGATAACTTGTCTCTGATAAATTCCATAAACGTATACTTGTATCATAACTGCCTGAGAGTAACAATTGCAGGTGAGTATCTAACCATAGGGTGCGTACACTTCCAGCGTGTCCAGTTAACCAAACACGATTAAGATGTGCCCTAAACAAACGTGATAATAATAATAATAATAATGGTAGATTTATTCTGGAAAAAATGAATTTATACATAATACATTATAATTGTTGACTTTCTTTTCCAAATGACTCATCCTTGTAGGGTTAATCAGTCTTATGTCCCGATAATTTCACTACCCTCAATCTCCTGCTCTGACCTATGTCGTTGACTTAACTCAAAGTCATTGCAAGATATTTTGTAAATTATGTTATTTTGTCTAATTAGGTCAACCTACAGGGACTTTAATCTACAGAGCTTGTCCTACCTGAGTGAGTTTGTAGGTTTAAAGGTCATTCCAATCCCTGCTCTATTAAGAATCCTACGTAGGGTTGCAGATGTCCCTTCCTTATATGGTAAAACTAATGTAGATGCCTTATATTCTCTCTTAGTTATGTCATGATTATTAATTTGACCATTATTTTTATTTTGCTTTCTACTTTTTTTGATATTCCTAATGTATTTTGTGGGATACTTATTGAACTAATAATGCTAGGAGAATATATGGTACTATTAAAATAAATAAACCAGGTAACCATGTAAGACCAATAGTAGACTTCAGGAATACCCCTGCTTATGAATTATCAAAACACTTAGCACTAATATAGTGTCCCATTAGAAATAGTTCAAACTCTAGACTAACTAATTCATATGAAATAAAAAGAAACTAAATAATATTCAGTTAGAGAATAATGAAACACTGACTGGTTTTTATATAACTAGCCTTTATAATAAAAAACAGGTGTAGAAATGCGGTCATCAATGTCCCCTATGGTAGCAGATATCTTTAAGGACAGCTAAGAAAATATTGCCCTTAACACAACATTTAATATCGTTACATTATTACTGTTCGCTTGGGTTCCTAGTGGAACATAGGGCTTCAACTACACGCCTCCACTTTTTTCTGTCTTCTGCTGTACTTTTCACCTGCATCCATGTTAGTCAATACGGTTTCAGCTCTTCTTCACACGATCTCCTCCGTGTCACCCTTGGACGTCCCACTCGCCGCTTCCCTTTCGGGTTCCACTCGAGCACTGGCCTGACGCGCGATGTCACCCCGCAGCGGCCTCCTCAGCGAGTGTCCAATCCATCTCCACTTTCTCCTGCATATTTGTTGGGCGATTAATTCTTGTTCTGTTTGTTCCCATAGTTTCTTCTTGTTGGTGATTCTTTCCAGACATCTGATCTTGAGTTTAGAGCGAAGACAACTGCAACAGGCTGTTGGAAATATTCTTTGTGACCCACCAAGTTTCTGATCCATATAGAAGAACTGACTTGACGTTTGTATTGAAAATCCGAATTTTGTTGTTGATGCAGGCTGAGTGACGAAGATTTCCAGATTGGTTTCAGGTTGATGAATGTGCTTCTCGCCTTCCCGATTCTCGATTTGACATCTTCGTCCGTTCCTCCTGCCTGTAGTTGAGACAATGCTCCCTAGATAAGTGAATGAAGTAACCTCTTTCAAATCCCTCCCGTTGATGGTGATTGGCGCTGGATGTTGCTGCTGTTGTTGGTGTTGTTTGTTGGTTGGTTATTTTCATAACCTCCGTCTTGTCTATGTTCACCTGGAGTCCTGTCTTTGCTGCTTCTTCGACCAGTTTGTCGGTTTTCGCTTGTAGATCTTCGATTTTGTGTGACATCAAACATAAATCATCCACGCGCGAAATCCAGGTCTTCTAGATTCTTCACGTTGGTCCAGGATATCCCTGTCTTCTCGTTTCCCACTGTCTGACGCATAATCCAGCCCACCACAATTATGAATATCATTGGTGATAATAAGCACCCTTGTCTGACTCCTGTGTTTACTCCAAACGCCTCGCTGAGTTTTCCGTTGTGGATCACTTGACATGTGCCGCTGTCGTACAGCTGTTGAATAAGGTTGATGAATATTTGGGGTACGCCGTAGTACTCGAGTAGTTTCCAAATTACTTCACGGTCAACGCTATCGAAGGCCTTCTCAAAGTCTATAAAGTTCAGGTAGAGGTTTGATTGCCATTCCATGCTTTGTTCGATGATGATGCGTAGAGTTGCAATTTAGACAGAACATGATTTTTCTTTCCTGAATCCAGCTTGTTTTGGTCGGAGTTCTGTATCCAGTTCGTCCTTTATTCTCTCCAGGATGATGCGATTCAGGATTTTACTTGGCGTCGACAGGAGCATGATTCCTCGCCAGTTCTTGCAGAGTCCTAGGTCGCCCTTCTATGGTAGTTTCACGAGGTAACCTTTCCTCCAGTCAGTAGGCACCTTTCCCTCTTTCCAGACCTTTTGCAATAATGGAGTTGGCATATCTGCTGTCGTCTCCGGGTCCGCTCTCAGTGCTTCAGGGGGTATTCCATCTGGTCCAGCTGCTTTTCCAGTTTTCAGAAGCTTGATTGCATTCAAGACTTCAGTTTTCGTTGGAGGATTGGTGTCAACTTGCAGTTGTGTACGTGCTGTTGTTGGTATTTCTGGCCGGGTTGTAGGTGGTGGTCGGTTCAAGAGTCCTTTGAAGTGGTCGGCCCATTGTTTAATCTGTCTTTCTTCTTTGGTAATTGGGTTCCCTTGGCTGTCTTTTATAGGTTTCACTTGTGTTGATCTCATCCCGGATAGAGACTTGGTTATCTGATATAATGCCCTCAGGTCCCTTTTGCCTTTTGCCTTCTCAGCTTCAGTAGCCAGATTGTCGAAGAATTTTGTTTTGTCCCTCTTGGCACTCTTCTTCACTTCTTTGTCCAGTGCTATGTAAGTTGAGCTCAGCGTCTCTTTCTCTTGTCCATCTTTGCATTGAATCATTTTCTCTTTCACCATTCTCCTCTCATCTATTGGCTTCCAAGTGTCCGTTGAGAGCCATTCCTTGTCTTGTCTCTTCTTTCTTCCTAAACCGTTTAACACGTTTCGTTAAAGATCACCTTCAGAGAGTTCCAATGATCTTCCACGCATGATTCCTCAGTAGTTCCACGTAGTGTTTCCTGCTTTGCTCTGACAGTTGCAGTGAAAGTGTCCTTTGTGGTTGTGTCCTTCAGTTTTTGAGTGTTGAACTTGCATTGTGGCCTATCCCCAGCTATCCTCGAGGCTTGTAGCTTCACCTTGAAAGTTCCTTGTAATCGATTGATATTACTGATTCGATGTTATTTAAACAACAATAATGTTGTTCATAACACTAATTCGTTCATTCACTATAATGTGTATATATAACTGTAGAGCCTGATGATGAAGTTATCGAAAAGAGTACTCTTTGTTCAGTATCCATTCCTTTGGAAAAATTTCTATCAGCAGGTAGAAAGGTGCTTGAAATTATGCTTGAGTATGGATTGCGATTTAATGTGGTAATTAGAAGATTAGAACAGTATGGAATGGAGTAAAAAAAAATACACTTTCATAAATAGTTAGAAAATTTAGATAGCCAAGTGGTTGAAGCAGGCCATCATAAATGAAACAGAATAAAAATATTAAAAGCAGAAACTGATGTTTTCAAAGCCAGTGAGTTATCTACTTGCCTATTAAGTTATTAAATTCACCAGTGGCCTGATTAAAACTTAGGCTACCGAATACCTCCATCATTATTTGGGATATAATATCTCATATTCAGTTTGTCTAAATCTAGTTAAATATGATCTCCGATGGTGTTGTTTACTCTGGAAAGTATTTAAAACATTTACAATCTGCTCATTCACAAGTTTCTACTTAACATAAGGAAAGCTATCATACTCGATGCCAGTTTATGCCACCACCCACACACATACACACGTGAGATGACCGTTCCTGAGTGGCATTCTTGGTTCACAAAATGTACTCCTGAACATTTTATAATCGAAATTCAAAAAATGCCGTGTACTTATCAAATGAGAAAAAGAAGAGATATCATCACAATGATGGACTGGTTTGCGCTTAAGATCAGATAGAACTATGTCACACGATCTATTGTCAATCAATTAATCTTTTATTTGAAGATCCTGAACGGAGAGAAAATATCATGAATGAAGCTGTTACTACTAAAAATAATAAATTAATTTCACAACCTTGATTTTTTTTATACAAAATTTACTGAATTCTTTGCGCAGATCCATTCTTAAAATCGCAGCCTTCAATGTTACCTCAATTTTTATTCTCATATGACTTGTTCATGCTTATCAGAAAGTATAATTGTGGGCTCCCATTTCTACTGTTTTTTTCTGGAGACTGGTCATCTGCACACTCTTACACCTAAGTAAGTTGTGCTAACTAGATCAACCTCTCACTTCACCAAAGGCTGATAAAGCAGATTTAGTAAATTAAATAATCCATAGCTATCTACGAGTATCAGTGTGGCTTTGATGGCTTCATGGTGGAATGTCTGCCAACCTGTTGTATATGTTCTCAGCTCGATTCCTGGTGAACGCAATTCTAAACATCACTTGCTTTACTTATAAGCGGGAATTAAGCCTCGAAAAGATGGAGGGTTGGATGTCAGGCTAACAATCCAAATAATTGCTAGAAGAAACTTTAAAGCTCAAGCTTGAAGCCATCCTGTGTTCCACACTCTGGACGTAAGAAACAAAAAGGTGCATCATTAAGAATTTCTTTTTTAATTAGTTAATTAATAATTTGCAAATTCCCATTTATGCATTGAAAAAGAACAACAGATTGAGTGAAGAAATATGCATTCCTTTTCAATTAGTTCCTCATCATTGGCTGCAAATGTCATACTCGGAGTCCGTGCGAGAGATTGGTTGATATACGCTAAATAACTTTAAAAGCTTTGTTAGAGTCGACTCGATGTCCAGTATCGACGAGATGAGCTAGTATTGAGCTGCGCATTGCTTTAACGAACCTATGCCAAACCAAGATGGGAGGTGTTCAGAAATTCAACGATGAACGTGCCTGATCGTATGCCCAACGTAACTAGCTCCACGCGGGCAGTTAATCTAGTAAATACACACAGAAGAGACAAAATAAGGCAATCTGTCTTTATTTCTTGAGCTGAGTATTGGTTGGTTTGTGAATATACAGTGAATATAGCTTAGCTGAGTTGAAAGTCCTTTAGAGATTGTGATAAGATCTCGCTATCGACATCACCCGTGAATTATAATCTTAGGAAGACCAGTTTTTCGGGAACAATCAGCACCTTAGACCTTTTACTTTCTAACTTCATGTGTCTTTTCACGTATTTAGCCGGATATTCGTTTCTACTTAGTAGATCACGAATATTACCGAGTTCTTTGTTAAGTGTCTCATTTGAAAAAATGACTCTAGACTGGTGAACCAGACATCTAACGAGATTACGTTTGTATTGTAGAAGTAGAAAGCCCAGAAAGTGAGTATATTGTCCAGTGGAAGTAGGTTTTCTATGCAAAACTTCTACATATTGTTCCGTCTGTTCGTTTAGTCATTAGGATGTCCAAAAAGGGAGATAGAGTCATTTTCTTCCTCTTCTTTAGTCAAGCCTATGTCGGGATGTGCTCTATTGAATTTATCCAATATACCCTTGATCTCACTTTCTTTCTTTCTTTCTTTACAACTATAAACATTTCATCGACATATCGGCAATAGAAATCAAGATTATGTATTGCACCTTTAAGAGGACCATTCTCTAGTTTCTCCGGGAAAAAATCCGCTAGGATTGGGTCTAGCGGTGATCCCATGGCAACACCATCTGATTGTTTATAAATCTCTTTACTGAAAAGAAATTTCAACTGAAATAATTATTAATAAATGCATAATTGACTATAACTTACATGAAATCTGATGTCCCAATGTACTGATTATTATTATTACATTTTGTAGTAGACTTAGTCGATTGATCCTCACGGAATGATTTGATTGAAATATCTAAGAATTTAATAGTTCGCTGTTGAGCACTTCCCTCACAATGAGCTAACCAAGGATTTTTGTTATCTGCATGAATCACTCGCCTTTTACACAATGGACTGTTTGGATGTCTGCAATAATCAAGTTAGGATATACAAAAATATACACCGTATATTAACGCTAATACTTAATTTCTTGAATGTATAATGAGGATAAATTATTGTTCAAGAAACAGTAAAGTATAAAGTTTAATAAAATTGAATATTTTAATTCTTTTTTTAAAAACATAATTACCTGTAGCATCAAGAGGAGACCATTCAGTGATATTGCGCATCAGGCTATCACTTGTGTGCAAACCACTAGTTGGATGTCACTTCAAGGGTGATATGGAAAAGACCGTATGAGGAGAGCCAGTTGAAAGAAAGACTGCAGAGAAGAGAGTAATGTGCTGCTTGTAGTGGGATAGTTTGTTCCAAGTTAGACTACGGATTGATATCAGTTAGAGGACCATTGAAAACTAGGGAGTACTTGTTTGGGATTCATCGGCAGTACGCACCGACCACAGTGGGGTTCGAACCCAGGACCTTCAGGCTACAAGGCAAGCTCTTATGTCCTGGTTTTCAGTGGTTTTCTAGCTGATATCAATCTGTGGTCAAACTCGAAAGACAAATCAACTCTTGGTGCTCGCCACATGACGGAGTTTCCTGGAGTTCTATTGAGAAGTCGGGACTAGTCAGTTCCATACTGCTGGGAGTGAGGGTGGATTTCCCGCCGATGACATTGGTTGGTGGTTGCGCTAAATGCATCACGAATTGGTAGAAGTTAGAATTCATAGGTTGGCCATTAAATCGGGTCCCAGTGGCTGAATGGTATACGAGCCAGCTTGCCTTGTAACCGGAAGGTCCTGGGTTCGAATTCTGGTGATGGTCGCCTACTTCTGATGAGTCTCAAATCAGGAGGAAACAGCTGTCCAGTACCCCACTACTGGCTTTACAATGGTTCTCTAACTGATACCAATCCGTAGTCTGACCTGAAACAAATAGAATCCCTACAAATGAATTCTTGAAAAGTAGGATAATTGTTTGAAAAATCCCTCCTCAACAATCCAGTTACAATGTTGACACTTATATGGACTTTTAGATTTACTTTGTAATTATTATCCGTTTTCCTCCTGCACTGTACATCACGGTTCTGACATTTGCATATCATATGTCACCTTGATCATTATTATTTGTCTTTGTTCTCCTGTTTAATCTCCAATTTGAAAGCTCCTCTTTGTGACTGTGCAATACATTGATGATGTGTTGTTTTACGATGTCGGTCGGTCGGTTTTCGACATAGAACTTTGCACATATGTCCGGCAGTTCAAGTCACCACACTCCCTCTTTGTAGCACACAAAGCAAGAGGAGAAAGTAGAAGAAATGCATAATATAGACAGTAAACAGAGGTGTGAGACAAAGGAATAGTAATAACGAAGAACAAAACAGTTTCATTGGAAACCATAAGTCACAAAGAGTGGATGTATCTGCGTTAGCCACTGAGAACGATTTTGAGCCATGTCACCAATTGTTTCCAACCATTGGTTTTTACCGTCCCGAGGACCCCAACCAGGAAGTCTACACCTTCCTACGTGGCTGGCTTAAACTAACTGTTGTAGACTTCGTTGACTGGTGCCATGTTTTCGTTTGACCACCGCTAGCTCTTTTCCAGCCTGACCCTATATCAGCTAACATTGCCCGTCGAGGAAGGCGATGACTAGGCATACATAACACATGTCCTAACCATCTCAGTCGAAGTAATTTCACAGTTTCGTCGACTGATTTCCCCGCCTTACCTAGCACTCGACTGACAGCTAACCTCAATATTGCTCAACTTATCATACCATTTCACACGGGAGATAGAACGCAGACACCTATGATCGAACACAGCTAATTTTTCATGTCTTCTGCTCAAAATGGCCATGTCTCACAGCCATAAAGGAGGACGGTCAGTCTGTTTGGATGAATCAACGTGGTTCTGACATTTTACTGTCTGGCGGAAGTGTTGGTGTGTGATTCTTATGTATAAAGGCTTAGATTCAATCTTGTCTGGAATATTCCATTCGATTCTCAGGTGCTTCCTACGCTTGCATTTCGGTTAGCTAAAGTTTTGTACTAACGTAATTGTTTTACTCAAGAAACTCATATGCTCCGTATGGCTGCCAAACGGCATCGTTGTGGTAATTTTCAGTTTTCCTTGTTATCTTTGTCAAACAGTACCTTAGATTTCATTCCCAAACAACTGTCTTCACCAGTAGGGTGCAGCAAGTTGGGTGTGAGGGCAAATACTCGCCACGAATGACATTGGTCCCGCCATATCGTGAATTGGCAGAAGTTAGAATTCATGGACTGGCAGTTGGATTGGGTCCCAGTGGCTGAATGGTGCACGAGCTCGCCTTGTAACCAGAAAGTCCTGGGTTCGAACCCTGACGGTGGGTGTGTACTGATGAAGAAACCCAAACTAGGCTGTCCAGTACTCCCTAGTGGTTTTCCAATGGTTATCTAACCTATGTCAGCTCATGATGAAATCCTTTAACCAATCAGTCAAATCACCACAAATTCATACTTGAATAACTAACTGTCTTTTTGCCATCATTATGTCATTTTGTGACTGAGTATAACTCAAGGAAGTTAAGGCTAGCTGTACATTAGAACAAGTAGGTCATCATCGCTACACTGCTGAAGTCCTATGTCAGACTAGAGACCTAAGGGAATAATAATTTTTGATTTTTTCTAATTTTTTATTATAGCTTGACTCCACACCGTATTACTGGTACAAGTATGGAATTTTCAGCGTGTGATATCGATAGCCCAAATTTTGCAGGCTGACCAACTGATATCAGGTGTGTGTCGACTGGGGACCGAACCCCGGACTATGAGCATTGTCGGCGAGGGTCCTAACCTCTGTGCCACAGACGCACACACGAAAATTTGCTTTTCAAACACTTAAATGTTCTATTTAAGCTCATTGGGTGAGCTAGTCTGGTCTAGGATCTGTCTCATAGTTGATAAAGTCTCTAAGAGGAAAGATACCAACCAGACACTTATGAATACAATTTGTAAGACTACTCTGTTATGAGATTAATTCTGATTATGTTGTCTAGGATGATAGTGAAACTTCATCTAATTTACACGATTACTGTAACCAAAGGCTTGTCGTTTCAATACTACATCACAGTCAAAATAAGATGATTAAACCATTTAAAGAATAATTTCAATTTTTTTTAATAAACAAAAACCGTGTTAATCACGCTTAATATAATAATAATATAGCGTTAAAAGCTTATTCCTCTTTTAACTGTATAAAATGTGATCTCACTTCTATAAACAGTTGACTTAACAATTAAAGATGTATTTCAACTGAAAACACCGTAAAGACCTGATTTATTTCATGATGAAATTCCTCATGAACCTGCATATTACCTAGATAAGTAGTAATAATAATAATTTAAAACCAAGAAGCAATCTTGACTAGTATGAATCCACATAGGGGGTTGGACCCCTTGCAGTCTTTTTATGATAATCTCCTAAGTGATTATAAGCCTGACAAGATAAGATATTTGATACACTCTGGATTTTAATACTTATTTAGGTTAAGTTGTTCTTTCCACCCTGAGTGGAATGTTGTTACCCAAACTGACTTCTTGTGGTTTGAATGCAGAGAACGTATCTGTAATTCTGACTGTCTAACCGTCCGAAACTTTCTTCAGAAACACACAGTTACAAAATGCTCCTAAGACAGCAGAAAGACAATTATTCTTCGATAGATGTTGATTCATTCGAACAAAATCACATTGTAGAAAACAACACATCGTCAATATTATCACATAACCACAAAGAGAAATATTAAAGTTAGAGATTAGACAGTAACAAAGATAAATAATTAGGATGAAGTCAACATATGATATACAAAAATTAGGAGAAAAAATAGAAACAACTGCAATGTTAGTCTAAAGGTCCATATAAGTATCAATATTGCAGGTGGATTTTTCAAGCAATTATTCCATTACATGGAACATAACGACTTCAAGATTGAGCTTTGAAGATTCAGCATCGACGGTGTGGCCGCCTTTACAGGGTGGGTTTGCTAACCATACACCCATCCTCCTTTCATTTCAGGTCTCACTACCATCTCGTAAGCTAGGCAAGGTTTTGAATTGAGTTGGCTATGAATCAAATCCAAACCACCAGCGTGGCTGGTAAGCATTCTACCACTGAATCACCAGCGTTACCGAACACAATGGCTGAATGGTTAACGTGCTAGCCTTATGAACTAATGGTCCTACGATCGGGCAGTTTTAGGACTGTCAGCGAGTACTGCTGAAAACTCTTAAACTATGACGAAGCAGCACGTAGATAAAATTTAAGTTATTTGTTCAATCTACTCATTAGTAGTCACACATTTTTATGTATATAAAGTAGTAATATCGAGAAGGACGATTACATAACTCAACATGAAATATTTCTGCCTCTGATCTAATAAATCCCATAAATTTAGAAACACCGCATTAATATTTAACATAAATACTTAAACTAATAACGAAATGTCATTTTCTCATATTGCAACAAAGACTACTGCTCCAAGCTTTAAACTAAAATACTTTCTGTAATTCAATTTGGACTTTTTGAAATTCATTGATTGGACTGATGTTCTCGGCATCAGGTTGACACGTCAGCTTCTCGTGCAGATGCTTCGACAATGTTTGATTATTTAACTTGAAGCAAACTGGTGGGTGGTGACTAGCAGGGGAATCCAGGATGTGCACTTCTCCCGATCTGGGACTCGTCATCAACTGGATGGATGTGCATTCCCCAGTGAGTGGTGGTGTTCCCACGGAGGAACGAATCCTCAGGAGCATCCAGCCGGTGATGAGTCCCCAATGGGACGAAGTGCGCATCCTGAATCTCACTGCTAGTCACCACCCACCAAATTTAAAACACTTTCCGTTGAATAGCATGAACCTAACAAGAAAGGAGTGGTCGCATACCACTTGCAACCAACCAGTAGTGCTTGCACGCCAGATCTAAATGATCCAAAAAGAGGACGGCCACTTGGCTTATTTTGTGGTCCAGATCACCATCAGTGGTGTATTCGGTGTATTGACTCAGCTCACACAGCCAAATCCATTCAGACCAGCTAACTGCACTCTTAAACTTATTCCAATCTATCTTCCACTGTCACTGGACAATAAACTAAACAATGGCGGCTTATACTTAGTACTTCAGTCGTTTATTTTTTGTGATGAGATTCAACAACCACATCAGATGGCTTATTTCTTTAACCCAGTGTGCTAGTAAAAACTTTCTTGCTATTCATAGAATGATACCATTCAATGTAAATCATGTTGCATAGGTAAAAATGTAATCCTAAGTTTGGGACACTAAGCATTGCCTTTATCTTTCAAGCGTTATGTCTGATACATATATATGAAGTTAGAGACAGTATACTGCAAGCTTAGTAGACTTCTCTTTACCTCATCCATGTAAAAGGTGATTTAAAGACACAAAATTTGAAAGAGTATTTCAGATCCTTATGTAATTTACGCCACACCATAAAAAGAATAATACCAATATTATTATTATTCCCTTGGATTCCAAGTGGAACATAGCGTTTCAGCAGCACGTCTCCATTCTGTCCCCTTCTCTGCAGACCTCTTCAGCTGATCCCACAGTTGTCCATAAGCTTTCACCTCACAAACCGTCATCTTCCATTCGGGTTCCACTCGAGCTATGGCCTGGGGCGAGATGCCAGCCGATGGTCTCCTCACCGTGCAACCGATCCATCCCCATTTTCTTCGGAATAGAGTTTCTTCTCAATATTTCTTAATAGTTGAATATTTGATCTTCAATATGGAGCCAGAAAAAGTAGATGCCGATTAAAGTCCCCAGCAGCTTGCTGGAAACGCCTTTCCTGGAGGGTTAAATTTCCGAACTAGAGAGAAGCACTAACTAACTTTATATTGGCTCTGAAAAACCGAATTTTCTTGTTTAATGCTGAGTTTAGAAGATTTCCAAACTGATTTCAGAGTAATGAAGGCCCATTTAGCCTCTCCAATTCTTTCTGGCTTTGATGTCGTCATCCGTGCTACTGCCTGTAGTCGAAACGATGCTTCCTAGATTAGTGAAGGAAATGGCCTCTTTCAAATTTCTCCTGTTGGTAGTAACTGGTGCCTTGTAGCTTACGCTACACCAATAAAAACAGTAACATATGAATCTATGCAATTTGATTTATATAAAAAGAAGGCAGTTTTTCACTTGTTGTGCATACTGATAAACAGACGAAAACAATAACCTATAAATCGTTCCAGCAAGAGAATTTATAAAAGAAACTGAGAGAGAGAAAGACATTGGTGCTAAAATGAACTAGAAGAATAATTGAAGCAAAGTGTACATTGATCTACAGAATAATAAGCCTTGTAAAAAAGTAGGTAAAATAAGCAGCAATTGCAGCTACACACGGGTGTCGGTGGTTTATCAACCGTGCACGTGGTCCAAGGTTCGAGTCACAGTAGACACACACCTTCACCTCCCTTAGCCAGTTCTAAGCCCAACAAAGAGAGAAGGTCAGACGTCTGAGGTTAGCTACTTCACACTGGAAAAAATAATCACCATTGCTATTGAAACTTCAAACTGCGAGCCTGAAGCCTTATGTTCTACTCAGAGAAGAAAGGAATAAAATAAAGTAGCAGCAACATATATCACTATAAAATGTTTGAATCATATCATCTATGAAATGTTACTGATAAATCTGTTAAACACCAGCATAAACTGTATTTAAACACATTCGGGGATCAATACGAAGTAATCAGTACAATTCAAGTGTTGGTTTGTAGGGATTCGAATGGTTACAGGATTTTCATCATGAGCTGATATCAATCAAATCCCTACATACCAACACTTGAATATCAATGAGATGCTCACTGGCGACTGGTCCTATTCAGATGGGTAGTTACCTGGGTTCTAGTGGGAAGTCGTGACCAGTAGAGTGAAGTAGGTCGGGTGTGAGGGCGAATACTCGCCACAGATGACATTGGCTAGCGGTCGTGCTATGTCGTGAATTGGCAGAATTTAGAATTCATGGGCCATTGGATCGGGTCCCAGTGGCTTAATGGTATACGAGCTCGCCTTGTAACCAGAAGGTCCTGGGTTCGAATCCCGGTGGGTGCGTACTGCTGAAGAATCCCATACTAGGACGAAACAGCTGTCCAATACTCCCAGGTTTTCCATGGTTCTCTAACTGATGTCAGCTCATGATGAAAATCCTGTAACAAATCAGTGCAATGTTATCAAGTCCTTGATACTCTCTGAAATCTGGCAGTCAGCTTTGAAGTGTAATCACTCACACAGAGACTTACTACTTGAGGTATTCTAAATGATGCTGGTCACCTGAAAGCAATAAGTAGGAAACCCTAGACCGATGTTTCCTGTTTGTTTCACAGTCTCGATGACAAGTCTTCCAGTCAGATGACAATATTGCAAGCATGACAAACAAAATTTGGTTATAGGATTTCATCATAAGCTGACATTGGGAGTACTGGACAGTCGATTGTTTCGTCCCACTTCGAGGCTCTTCATCAGCACGCACCCACCAACAGGGTTCGAACCCAGGACCTTCTGGTCACAACGCTAGCGAGCTCGTAGACCATTAAGCCGCTGGGACCCGATCCAACCGCCAGTCCATGAATTCCAACTTATGCCAACTCACAATATAGCGCGACCACTAGCCAATGTAATCCATGGCGAGTATTTGCCCTCACACCCGACCTACTGCACCCTGCTGGTCACGACTTCTCACTAGAACCCCAGGTAACTACCTACCTGAATAGGACCAGTCGCCAGTGAGCATCTCATCGATATTCAAGTATTGGTTTGTAGGGATTTGATTGATGTCAGCTCATGGTGAAATCCTGTAACCAATCAATCAAATCCCTACCAGCCAAACAAAATTTGGTCAACGCTAAGCATTATTCAGTATAACATCCATCCCCTAGACGAAACGCTACACTGGTAACACTTTTGACTGTAGAATTGAGTGGTGCCTGGAGAGAAATCGATATCATTGGGTTTACAAACAGACTATACTCAGGGCATCCCGTCAATTGTTTTCAATCATTCAGTATGAAAATCAGTTGACTATGATAAATTTTAAGGCTTCAACTTCACTGAATCAGGCAGACCACTCTACGGGGAATAAAATCAAATACTCGTCTCTTCTCTTCCTTAATATTAAAATTCAATTATACTAAACATACAGTATTCTCACCTTTCTAACAGCACATAAATGCTAAATGGTCCACAGTAAATATTCCTTTCACGCATTAATACATAACGTATTTTGATTTTAGAATATGCTTGACGTATTTTACTGGATACTGACTCCCATGATTTTTGGATTAAACTATCCCATTCATGTAATTCATTAGGCTACAAAATGTGAAAATAAAAAAAGAAATATTCCTTAGTTAAAAATCATAGAAGTATTAATGGCAGTTTTCTGATCAGCTGACTGACCGATACTTAGCTAGAAGGTAGAAGTTTTTGCAGAATACCTTGGCTACATTACTAACGTACAAGTTGTAACTTCATGTACAGACCCCTATCAGTATTAGTGAACATAGAATGAGCAATATGTAGTGTGTTTTTAATTCGAAATGCACTCCATCTCGGCAGGAGGCAACAATGGTGGCTGTGGCCTAGTAGTACTCTGTTTGGCAGAACACTGGACAAAAACCATTGGAAGTATTAGTGCCGATTCTACCTGGCAGGCTGCAGGTAAAGAGACCTCAGAACATTATATCAGATAACTAGGTCTCTATCCATTCAGGAACAGATCAACCCAGATGATGAAACCAATAAAAGATGTTCAAGGGAACCTGATTACCAAAGAGGAGAGCCAGATAAAACAATGTGCTGATCACTTCAAAGGACTTTTCAATCGACCATCACATGCAACCCGTCCAGAAATACACCACCACCAAAAGCACGCACAGAACTACCTGCCAGTGAACACCAATCTTCCAATGAAAGCAGAAATCCTGGATGGGATCAAGCTACTTGAGTCCAGAAAGGCAGCAGGACCAGACGGAATTCCACCCGAAGCACTTCTAATGGACCCAAAGACTGCGGAATATGTTCCCACACCATTATTGCAAAAGGTTTGGGAAGAAGGATAGGTGCCTCCCGACTGGAAGGAATGTTGGCTACCTTGTCAAGGCCTGTGCAAGAACTGACTGGGGTAGAATAATGCTGTTGTCCACGCTAAGTAAAATACTAAGTAACGTCATCCTGGAGAGAATAAAGGATACAGAACTCCAGCCCACCGGAACAAGCTGGATTCAGGAAAGGTAAATCATGTGCTGATCAAATTGCAACTCTACGCATCGTCATCACAGATCAAAGCATCGAATAGCAGTCAAACCTCTACCTAAAATTCATAGACTTTGGAAAGGCCTTCACCAGACAGCATTGACCGAGAAGTAATTTGGAAACTACTTCAACCCTATGGCGTGCATTGTCCAAGTCTTTTTCAACCTTATCAACGGCTATATGACAGTGGCACGTGTCAGGTGATCCACAACGGAAAACTCAGCGAGACATTGGAAGTGGGAACAGGAATGAGACAGCCCTGTCTACTATCACTGATGATGTTCTTCACTGTGGTGGACTGGATCACTCATCAGACTGTGGGGAGTGAGGAGATGACTCTAGAAGATCTGGATTTCGCGTGTGGATTATTTATGTTGAATGCCACACAAACTCCAAGAATTGCAGGCAGGCTGAAACCAACGAACTGGCTGAAGAAGCAGCCGGCGGATACAGGACTGACTCAAGCTGAACATAAAGAAGATGGAGGTTATGAAAATAACCAACCAACAAACAGAAACAACAACCAGCACCAATCACCATCAACAAGAGAGATTTGAGGTTATTTCCTTCGCTTATCTAGGAAGCATCGGTTTCAACTACAGGCGGATGGTACAGATGAAGATGTAAAATTCAGCCAGTCAGAATCGGAAAGGCAAGATACACCTTCATCAATCTGAAACCAGTTTGAAAATCTTCAACACTCAGCCAGCATAAGGAACAAGATTTGCATTTCCAACGCCAATGTCAAATCGGTCCTTCTATACGCGTCAGAAGCTTGCACTGCGTGTCACAAAGAGGATTTCCAACAAGTTGCAAACTTTCATCAACAGCTGTCTTCGCTGGCTCCATACTGAAGATCGAATAACCAAAAAGAATTAGTGACAAGAAACTGTGGGAACAAACCAACCAAGAGCCGATCGCAAAAGCTGACAAAGGAAACGCCACCGTAGTTTTGGATAAATCTGACTACATCAAGAAAGTCAATGAACATATTGAAATGGGTCCATATGAGGAAATTAAGAAGCCCGTAGACACAATAATGAATAAGGTTAAAAAATCCACAGCGGAATTAGTACGCAGAATGAAGCCGTCACTGGGTGAGTCAAAATGGTTTAATTTAATGCCTAAGACTAATAATGCTAGTAGGATGTATGGTACTATTAAAATACATAAGCCAGGTTATCCCATAAGACCAATAGTAGATTTTAGAAATACCCCTACATATGAATTATCAAAACATTTAGCTCTAATATTATGTCCCATTAGAAATCGTTCAAATTCTAGGCTAACTAATTCATATGAAATGAAAAATAAACTAAATGACATACAACTAGATAATGATGAAACAATGGTTAGTTTTGATATAACCAGTCTTTATACTAATATACCAGTCAATATGGCCTTAGAAGCAGTTAAAAAAGAACTAACTGCGGATACTGAACTCAATCATAGGACAAAGCTGTCCATTGAAGAAATTATTTTAGGGGTTCAGCTATGCCTCACATCTACTATCTTTAGATTCCAAGGCAAAATATATAGACAAACTGAAGGTGTAGCAATGGGATCACCAATATCCCCTATCGTAGCAGATATATTTATGGATAGCTGGGAAAATATGGCACTTAATACGTTTAATCCTACTCCAAAAATATGGTGGAGATATGTGGATGACACTTTCACAGTGTTAAAAACAGAACATATCTCTAGCTTCTTGACACATATTAACTCACTAGTAGAGGGGATAAAATTCACATTTGAATCGGAAGATGAACAAGGAGAGTTGGCTATGCTAGATTGTAAAATAAAACGAATAGAAGAAGGTAAACTTCACACTAGTGTGTATAGAAAACCAACGCATTCTAATAGATATTTAGATTTTAATTCGTCGCATCCGTTAACTGTTAAGGCAGGCTTAGTTAAGTGTCTAACAAACCGAGCCATAGCACTAAGTAGCACAAAAAAAGACCTAAACGACGAGATAAAACAGATAGAAGAAGCGTTGGTGTTGAATAATTATCCTTTAAAATTCATTAGGAAGATAACTAAAGGCCAAAAACAAAATAAAAATAAAAATAATTGTGGAACTAGTAATGATAACATAAATAAGAGAGAATATAAGTCATCTACAGTTATACCATATAAAGAGGGGACATCTGAGACCCTACGTAGGATTCTGAATAAAGAAGGAATTAGGGTGGCATTTAAACCTACAAACTCACTCAGGGACAAGCTCTGTAGGTTAAAGGACCCAGTGGACCCAATTAGACAAAATAATATAATTTACAGAATACCCTGCAATGACTGTGAGTAAGGTCAACTACATTGGTCAGACTAGTAGGTCAGGGGAAGTCAGATTGTCAGAACATAAGAATTTAGCTAAGATAAGAATGGTTGACCCAGAAAAGATAAGTAATTTAGAAAAAAGCTCGGCAATTGCAATGCATGCATTAAAACACAACCACACAATAGTGTGGGTGGGAGAGGGTTAAAATTCTAAAAAGTAATCTAGGTAGGTGGAGAGAGAGGTTGATTACTGAATCTTTGTTCATCGAATCTACACCCAACACGTGCAATAGGAATGAATCATCACTAATACCCGAAATATGGAAAATAACACTACCAATCAAATCAAGTGGAAATCAAGTGAAAAATAATGGAACTATATAAATGAATTTAGGAAGTCGTGTGATTACCTTGATATGATTATGAGCAATAAATTGTGCTCGAAACGTCATCAGTAAATATTACTGTATAACACTGTGAGACTCTATCAAAATAAAATTTACCCATAATGGAACTGACAGACCCCTTCAAGCACAAATCTAGAATTCTAGTAGTGGTAGTCAAAACAAATTATAACATGCATTCATATATGTTTAAACAAAGTTCACATTTAATAGTTTGAAAAATTCGAGCATTGGGTATATGTTACTCATTGTTATAAAAGTTTTCGTATTTCTCAATAAATAAAAAATATTTATACTTCAAATCACCACCATACTCTATCAGCCATCTCAACTCTTCTTAGACAAACACACTTTATGAAGAAAGTTAGGAAGGGAAAAGAAGAAGAGATATGAAATATTACTAAAATTCTCAAGAAAAATAACTGTCCAAAGAATTTTATTATCAAAATCAATATTAACATCAAACATGGCCAAAAATGTACTCTTTTAAACCTGTGCAGACATTGTTTAATAGAGGTGAAACACACTGTAGCACTACTCCTGCGTTAAAGAGAATGGAGGAAAAATGCCTACTAACCGTCTTTAAAAAGAATGCATATCCTCACTATTTCATCAGAAAGTGTTTAAACTTAGGAAGTCATAACACCAAGAAGAATCCGTCATCAAAGACTACAAGAAAATTCATCCTACCATATTTAAAAAATATCTCTGAAATAACAGCTAGAATATTGAACCCGTTTGAAATAGAAATACCAAACAAGCCAGCCAGCCAGCACAATCACTTCATTTTATATTGTGCAAACCAAAAGATTCAGCAGGAAAAGAAGATAAAATTATTATCATTTACAAAACACATTTTATTAACTGTGACAGACATGTCATCGGCCAAAGTGGGCTTCCCCCTCGAATCCGAATCCAAAGAACACAAATTGGCTGTACAAAGACATGAAATATATTCTTTCGTATCAATGCATGTGGATAATTACGGACACCAGTTTGACTGGGATAATGTAGAAATTTCAAACAGGGGAAACACCAAACAAATGCCAGGGAATTTCTAGAAGCCTGGTTGGTACTCAGATGAATCAGCAATTAACATATTACCATAGACCAGATTTTTTTACCAACTATTAAAAAATAAATCAGATGACAAAAAAGTGCAAATTCTAAGTGATTAAATACGATTAATAGAGACGTAAATTAACAACCAATCACGACAATGGTTATCAGAAGACACAATTATATGATCATTCATGGAGGATTCAAAGAAGTTTATTTCATACTGAAACCTGCTCTGAGGATGCTCTCTATAAGGGGGATAACTAAAGCTTCCCAATTAAATCAACCAGCTCCTCAGAGAACCACAAGTGTACGTCGGTAGTATAGCGGTTAGGACGCTCACCGACCGGCGGGGTTCGATCCCCGCCCGACGCACACCTGATATCTATGGTTGGCCTGCTAAATTTGGGCTACCGATATCAAATGCCGAAAATTCCATACTTGTACCAAAATGCGGTGTGGAATCAAGCTATGATTTAAAAAAAATCGAAATTATCCACCTGAGATACATATCTTCCCCATTATATAAGATCAATCTAAAATTATTTATTAGACTGTAATATATAATCATACATGACAAAGACCAGTTTAAGTGTTAGTTTGTAAGAGTTTCAATGGTTTCTAGTCTGATCAGGCATTACAGCTGGATAGCTGTTTCATCCTTGTTTGGGCGTTGCAGCTATAAATCTCGAATTGACAGTGGTTGGCTGGACAGCAGGCTCACTTCATAACCTTCTGGGTTCAACACCCAGTGAGTTATGGGTGAGTACTGCCGTGGAGTCCCAAAATAAAAAGAAACAACTGTCCAGTACTCCCCAGTTTTCGATGGTTCTCTGAGTGATACTAATCTGTCGTCAAACTTGAAACGCTAATTTAATTAATCCAAATGAAGTCAGCCAGTACACGAATAGTTAACCAGCTACTTCATAACATAAACAACAGTCGCAATTCATACTTCAAAAAAATTTAGATCACACCATGTATACAGAAGAAAGCCACTGTGGTGTAAGAAGTACTAAAAAGCTGAAAATCATCTGTTGTGTGTCGAACTTAGTCAGTCTAATCACTCAGTAACATGGCAGTGAGAGGTTTATCCATCAATCAGTCTGTCTTTCCGTCTGTCTACCTCCCTCTCTCTGTTAGTGTCTCTCTATTACCTTTAAATTACTTTCAGCAGGATGATGCAAAGTTCTTCAGTAGCCTATTCGGTGTACTTTATTCAAAGGTAAAACTATCAGAGTAACCAATCATATATTGATTTCATAAACTATTTATAACACCTATTGAAAAATGAAAAATTAATATATTTTTATAACTTGAACTTTAAATAGACTATTCGTTGATATTAATGCAGAAATTATGATGAGCTGAGAGAAAAGTACATAAATGCTAATTCACCTTGATACAATGCTATTCAAGCTTCTAATATAAACTATGGGTTCCTTCGGCCCCCCTACTCCAAGTAAAATGTTTTATTCTACAGATACAAATTCATTAGGAATATCAAAAAAGGTCAAAAACAAAATAAAAATAAAGGTGAAACTAATGATGATGAGATAACTAAGGGAGAATGTAAGGCATCTACAGTAGTTTTACCATATAAGGAGGGGACATATGAGACCCTACCTACGTAGGATTCTCAATAAAGCAGGAGTTAAGATGGCATTCAAACCTACAAACTCATTCAGAGACAAGCGCTGTAGATTAAAGTCCCTGTAGGTTGACCCAGTTAGACGAAATAATATAATTTACAAAATACCTTGCAATGACTGGGAGTGAGGTCAACTAAATAGGTCAAACTAGTAGTGGATCAGGAGTAGTGAGATTATCAGAACATCAGAATTTTGCTAACGTTACAATGATTGACCCCAGCAACTGCACTGTATGCAATAACACACAACCACACAATAGGGTGGGTGGGACAGAGTGCAAATTCCAAAAGGTAATATAGGTAGATGGAGAGAGAGACTGATTACTGAATCCTGCCTGGTTCATCGAGTCTACTCTCAACACATGGAATAGAAGTGACTCAACGCAAATACCAGAGATATGGAAGATATTATTACCACCAGTCAAATCACAGGATAATAAATAATGTTAAAATGTATTCCATCAATTCACATTATAACATTCTAACAAGTTACTTATTTTGATTATAAAAACACTCGTCTTATTTCCCATATGATTGTATTTTACTGATAACAGTAATATTATTATTTCCGAATGTACCTTATCTTATACTGACTTTTTTCAAATGTCTACTCATCAACTTTTACTCATGTGCATAAATGAAGCAAGAAAGTTGTGTGAGTAGTGCCTTGATATGATTATGAGTGGCAATAAAGTGTGCCCGAAACATCATCAGCAAATATTACTGTGCAACACAGTGTGATTTTATCAAAATAAAATTTTATCCATAATGAAGTACTGGATAGCTATTTCGTCTTAATTTGGGCCACTGAGCTGGGCTCCAGTGTCTGAATGGTCTACAAGCTTTCGTTGTAACCGGGAATTCCTAGATTCGAGCCTTGGCAGTAGGTGGGCACTGGTGATGACTCACAAACTAGGACGAAACAGCTGTCTTCAGGTGTTTACGGTTTGATGATTTTGAATGACTCTCTAACTGATATCAGTCCGCGGTCAAACTTGAAACATAACTTACATGTTCGACAGAATTATGATTACAAGCACCAGTATTACTGATCTCCAGCCCTCTGGAAGCCAATTCTTGTTTCTCAGTGAGAGATTCATTCGGTAGATGATTTTTCATTTGAATTGGGCATACAGGAACTGGTACCAGTGTAAATCTTAAAAACTTTGGATCCACTCGAAACAGCGATGTCTAAAAAGGTTGAACAAGGTAGATAAATATTTCACCTGTGATTTAATTATTGATTACATTAAAAAATATACATAAATACTATTCATTCTCGTAGTTCAAACATTCTCAAGCCAATGGAAAAGAAGTGAGTGGAAATATTTCTTTGTGTCTAATATCAGCGGTTAAAGAGGCCTGTTTATTCATTTTGGTTGTCAGAAATTAATAACTTAATAATAATAATTTGCTTTATTCCAAAACAGTACTTGTGATACAGAATGGAATTCTCAGCATTTTTTACTACAGTATTGCATCCAGTTTGTACATTATCAATAAATAAAATTCTACATAGATTAAGGAAATCTCAGTTCATTATGACAACAACATATTGGCATGTCGGTAGCAAAGCCAAAGTTGAACAGTGTTTGAGGGTGTTAGAAAAGTAGGTGCTATCATATTTACTGGCGTAAGCGGTAGAAAGAAACAAAGCTGCACATAACGGAAAAAAAAGAGAGAGAGAAAACGAAAAGAAAGAAAGAAAATTTTGTACCTATAAATGGTATGAGTTGGTAAGACGAGGTCCAGTTGTTCTACTGACTATTAAATGAATTATAGGTGTCACGCCTAATGCTTTCTTTATCGCACAGTACACGAGCTAAGTAGGGTATGGTTGAATTTTTGTACTTGCTGGTGCGAGCATATAGTTTTCTATATAGGCTTTTGGTTTTGCCTGATGAGGTGCAAGGGGAGAGTTGTGAGTGAAGAGGGTGGTGTGAGTTAGATAAAATGGATTTGGCCCATTTTTCACATGAGTCCATGTGCCTGTCAACCAGAGTATTAACAAGCTGGTTAAGTGGCACGTTGCTTACCCTGCTGACAACCTTTAACATCCTGCGTAATATGTTATAGTCTTTCTTCAGTAGCCCGGGAAAAACTAAGGGGGAACAATAGAGAATAACAGGCGGGATGTGAGAATTAACGAATTGTAGGAGTAAGGGTTGGGTAATACCAGAATGTTTTAACTTCTTGATGTAGAAGGTAAGACGGAATATTTTCTTAGAAATTGCTAAGAAATGAGACGACCAGGAGAGATCAGCAGATAGAATGACACCTAGGTATTTAATTTCCGATTTAGTTTCTATTTCAGTGCCGTCTATGTTGCATACCTCGTAAGAGCCAAACAGTTTGTTTAGGTCGGATTTATGCCTAACAGTGAAATTGACCGTTTGGCATTTGGAGGGGTTTAGGGTAAGACCATTTTCCTTGGACCACTGGCTGATTTCTGACAGAAAGCCATTAAGTTTAGAGCAGTCGCTTTGACATTTGATAGGCAAAGATACAGACAGATCGTCAGCGTATTTCACAAAATTAATGTCATTTGAAGATGGTAAGTCATGTAGAAAGAAAGGAGAAGTAGGGAGAGTACAGCGCCTTGGGGGACTCCGGCTTCAGTGAGTACAGCAGAGGATGATTTACCTTTGTATACGGTGTACTGCATTCTGTTTGAGAGATGTGAGAGCTGTCTACTAGCCAAGTGGTGGACAGTAATTGAGGTCAATGTTTATGTATCAAATATTAGTCATGTTGTGGTGAGAGATGGTTGCTGGCCAAATTGGTTGACAGTAATTGAGGTCAAAGGTCAAGGTGGACAGGCGGTTACAGTTAACATATAGATGAACTGACACAGCCACAAGAGATGCAAGGTTAACTTTGTGTGAGAACACATATACATAAATTATAATACGTGTTGATTTTTCGTAATAAACGATCTGTTGCCTGGCCCTTGTCTTCTGTTGTTACAGTAGGAATGCAACTAGTTAGTGACCCAGGACTCAGTTTTCGTCAAAGAGAGCTTATTTAGCAGGAGACATCTAGGAACAGAGTCGAAAGCAGAAGTGAAGTCAAGAAACGTGCAGCGGACGTACTTGGCACCTTCGTCTAACGGCCTTAAACTTAATCCTTCCAAATTTCAGACTGTTAATTTCAGTTTCCGATGTAAACGAAAGTTAAATGAAGCCGTTGGTTCCTATGACCCTTGCAAAATCGATGATACTGATATAGAAACCAAGTCTGAAGTTAAGTATCTTGGATTAGTTCTCTCTTCTGACTTATCCTGGTCCTCTCATGTCTTAGCGATTTCTAAAAGAATATTTTGTTTGACTTTTTACATTAAGAAGTTAAGGCACTCAGGCATAACTCAACCACTCCTCCTACGGTTTGTCAACTCGTGCATCTTACTTATTCTTCTTTACTGTTCACCCTTATTATTTCCTGGATTGCTTAAAAAGGACTATGTCATACTATGTAGAACTCTGAAGACTGTCGGTCAGTAGGACGAGTGGTATCCCATTGGGCCATATCGTTGGCATCGTCACCGATAGACATTTGATGTCATGCAACAAATTCGCTAAAGGAATTTTGTCAGACTCTGAGCACCCATTCTACCAGCAGCTCCAACCTTGTGTCTACTCAGGTAAAACAAGAAGTCTTTTCAGAAGACTTTATGCACGTACGTCAAAGTATAAGAATTCCACTATACCATATTTAGCACGAACTTTATGTGATGAAAATAGCGTCAGAAATGAACTAACTAACCTTCTTAGCACCACTAAATAGACCATTTCCTTCACCCTTAAAGCATCATACTTTATTGTTATTATATTTGTTATATTTGTAATGCTCTCAATTTTTTCGTTTTGTTTATTTTTTTTTTCATAAGTGTGGACATAATTTTAAGCTGTATTATGACTGTTAACTTTGTATTTCCCCTCACTATACCATATCAACAGAACATTAGATCCAATAATCTATAACATGCTAAAGTTTCCAAACTGAATCGACAATACCGTTTGAAACAAACTCACTATTATTATTACAATATCTAATAATTATGTCTTAAATGTGGACAAATTCCTCCGATTAATTTTGTTTTAATATTTAACTTTATATATATTTTGTGTAAATCAGATGCAATATTGTGACAAATGCTGAGAATTCCATTCTCTATTATAAGTACTGTTTTTTAAATAAAATAAATTATTATTATTATTATTATTACTCCCTCAATTCCTTTACCTCCCTTTCAGTCTTGCAGGTAATATTTTAAAGAAGCTGGAGGTTTCCTCTTTTTTATCTTTCCTTTATGAAGCCACTAACTTTAAATGTCAGTGTGAAATATGACAGCTGAAGTCGACATATGATTGAACCATACCTTAGAATACTTATATGCACCCCTCTTTTGCCAATTTAGCTGATTCGACTCAATGCGTCACAACGAGTTGGACGTAATTATTTTATATTCATACAAAAGTATGTAATCGAACAAGAATTGCGTTTGCTGATGGTCGTATTTCAAAGATTCTGAAAGTCCGCTCACTTATTTTGTCGACTTCCACATTTTTTTCGTGTGTTCATTTTGAATTTCATCTTGTCTATAATTTGTTCAGTCACAATTATATCAGTGCTTTCTCAATAGATGCATGATTTTCTTTTACGCAGCTGTAGTACCTTTCACACTCTTAAAATACTTTAGCGAATAGCTAAAAAATAGAACTAGTCAAGTTTTCACTGATAGCCTCGTGTGAAACTTGTTTACTTAAACACTCATTAAAACCTTGAATAACAGTTAGCAAGTTTAATCAACGGGAGGGATTTGAAAGAGGTTACTTCATTCACTTATCTAGGGAGCATCGTCTCAACTACACGAGGAACGGACGAGGACGTCAAATCGAGAATCGGGAAGGTCAGAAACACATTCATCAACCTGAAACCAATCTGGAAATCTTCGTCACTCAGCATCAACAACAAAATTCGGATTTTCAATACAAACGTCAAATCAGTCAGTTCTTCTATACGGATCAGAAACTTGGGCAGTGTGTCACAAAGAATATTTCCAACAGCCTGTTGCAGACCTTTATCAACAGCTGTCTTCGTTCTATACTCAAGATAAGATGGCCGGAAAGAATGACCAACAAGAAACTATGGGAACAAACAAAACAAGAACCAATCGCTCAACAAATATGCAGGAGAAAGTGGAGATGGATTGGACACTCGCTGAGGAGGCCGCTGGGTGACATCGCTCGTCAGGCCAATGCTCAAGTGGAACCCAAAAGGGAAGTGGCGAGTGGGACGTCCAAGGGTGGGTGACATGGAGGAGATCGTGTGAAGAGGAGCTGAAACAGTATGGACTAACATGGATGCAGGTGAACAGTACAGAAGCAAGTGGAGACGTGCAGTTGAAGCCCTATGTTTCACTAGGAACCCAAGGGAACAATAATAATAAGTTTAATCACCTAAGCATGTGGATTTCGCAAATCAATATTTATTTTTCTACGGTTATCAGTTACAGAACAGAGAAATACATAAAATAACCAGTCAATACTTGACTTAGATTGTAAAAAAAACTGTGATGATGTCTCAAAAAGATTTAACTCTAATGACAACTCCTCTGTATATGCTCTATGATAAGTTTAAAAACAAGAGCTATTCAGGCCGCGGAATTCTAAGAACTAATGGCTTGAGGATGTTTATTATTATTATTATTGGCTTAAAATCCTTCGCGGGGGTACATATGTATTTACTCTAATTTTTTCTATTCCAGATCCATAAGTTCTCATATATTCTCAAGTTACTATTCCCTTCTCATGTACATTTCTGTGCATTATAGTTCCTAGGCATTTTCTTCTTCTTTTCTGCCTTTTTGTGTTATATGAAGTGTTGCAACTTGTGCTGCTGTACTTCTGTACAACTTTCTAGGTTAAAAAGTTAGTCTCTTCAAAAAGTGAGAAATAAAAAATCCACTGAGTATTCAAACAAATATTCATTCAGACATTTAGAAAAAATGAGCGTAGAATATCATTTTTGATAATTTTCTCTTCTGGCTCTACAATTATATACATATACATATTAGTGTTATTCCCTTGGGTTCCTGGTGGAACATAGAGGTACAAAAACACGTCTCCACTTTCTTCTATTTTCAGCCGTCCTCTTCAACTGGGTCCACGATTGTCCATAATCCCTCCTCC